GGATCACAGAGGCCACGTAAAAAGAAGCGCGTGGTTCAGATCCACTCCGCCAGGTGGCGCAATGGCCCCCCGCTGCCTGGAAGAAAATCATATTTTCTTTAATTGAACTATTTAAAACAATTTTAGTAATTGTCCTCACAGTTTATTAGCCTTTAATTCAAGTTAAGCTTCAGTTTTGTATATGTACCGTTGAAATCAGAACTATCTATTTCTGATTTTTAGAAGACATGAATATTCGTGAAACCAGAAGGAAGTGCTCGACCAGATGTGCTTGAACGAAAGACAAGAGGGTCACTCAAGAAGAAGGTCGTTGATTTCTTTACAAGATTCAGTTGTAATGTAGGAAGCAAATAATATGCAGAGGTGGAGTCATATCGCTGCATACACGCTACTGCTAAATTGTTGTTCATTTGCATTTTTATTACGCTGTTATAAAGTTGTGTAGCCAAAATTAGACGATTCTTTTGAGATAAGCTTTCACAAACTGCACTTAGTTCACAAGTAATTATTCCTGTAGCGTAATTTTGTGTTCATTAGTGCCAAATTGGGCAGTATGTACAACTCTACGCCACTACGCATTTGTTTTCTAAATGCTATCTTAAATAGTATCTCTTTTTGTGTAGCCCCTCGAAATTGGACCGAAAAAGTACGTATGAATGCCTAATTTACTGCTTATAAATTGCTTCGAAATCATCCACCATACTGAACTTGGCTAGCGGTACTTTACAGTATATTTCAGCACAATGAATGAATGATCTGTCGACCTATATCTATTTGTACAAAAATGTATGCTATCTGCGTGCGTGCGTGCGTGCGTGCGTGCGCGCGCGCGCGTGTGTGTGTGTGTGTGTGTGTGTGTGTGTGTGTGTGTGTGTGTGTGTGCGTGCGTGCGTGCGTGCGCTGCTGCATTAAATTCCCGTGCAGAGTCGTTCAAGGAATCTTGACGTCTGACTGCGAAATGTTTCTCACACGAAATATAATTCATTCAATTCAATGCCTCATGCAATGCAATGCATTCAATCCAATGCCTCTATATGGCGGGATACGTAAGGTATTCTATTAGTATTGAGTCAGCAGGGCAAACGGGAGAGAGGCTGCGTGGGCGACAAATTCTTCCAGTGTGACTTGCCCTCGCCCCTTCCTTACCCTTCACCTGACCAATTCTTGGTGTCTATAATAAAGTTTTATCCTGCCCCAGCGCGAGGAAAACAGGGAAACATCTCGGCGCTATATTCAGCTGACCCAGCTGGCAGTATTTAAATATACACATTGTTGGTTTCTATTCGCGCATTGTCTGCGGCTTATGGGTCTCGCAGTGGCACCTGTGCTGCCTCTCTATTCACCCTTCGCGAGCGAAAGGTGTACAACAATCTACCTCTTTCAAAGAGGGAAAGCTATGTTGTTCGTGCAGGTAAGTTACTGCGGCCTAACGAACTTGTTTTCGCTTACATAACTGTCAGGCCACGTTCTATATCTAACCCAATCTCTCCTACAGCACATTTTGTAATACAAAAACGCGGTCTAGTGGTTATGGGGTCCGACAGCTGACCTTCCTGAAGAAAAATAAAGCCGACATTCCGTGGCAAGGACAAAGCAGTGAACGGAATGAAGTCAAATTGAAATGTTATTTGAAGTGCGGCTGGCAGCGATTTTTTTTTTTCTGGATCCCATCTCGCGTAACAACAAAACGGTGGGCTGATGTTATCGCATTCGCCCTCCGAGTGGCGGGGATGGGCTGGCTCGTTTCTGCTTCAGCGGCGTTCATCACCGCCGGTCACGTGCTTTTACCCGCGGAGGGGTTGGGGGAAGGGAGGGTGGAAAGCGAGAGGAAATATATTATAATTGTGGACTTAATATGAGGACATGACGGTGACAATAATGACGACTGCAGAAACCCGTCGAGGGTGGTAATATATCTGCTATCGCAACAAAACAGAATGAAAGAGACACGCAGGGGAGAAAATTAAAGAAATAGAGAAATGTCGAGAGAAATAGAATGAGACAAAAAAAAGAGGACGAGAGGAATGCAGCTGGAAGGAAATTAAAGAAAGATAAGAAAGATGAATAGGGAAGAAATAGAGAGAAATGTTAACATAGAGAGAAAGGCAGGAAAACAAGCAGGGACAAAAGAGACGGAAAATATAGAGAAAAGAGAAAAAGCAAAAGATCAAGAAAGAATGAGGAAAACAAAAAAATTATACGTAGATGGCTGACCAGCTGCGTAATTCCTTCAGGCTTCGCAACACTCAGGCGAAGCTGGCCTATCATTTAAAAAAAAAAAAATCTCATGTTCTCTTGTCACACTTTGTTCCCCATCGCAGAGTACCAAATTAGCTACTAGCATCTTGTTATATTCCCAACTTTCTTGTCTCTGTCACTCGCTCTGGTCAGTCATTGAATAGTAGCAATTACTTGTATAGCAGAGAATGTCTTCTAAAGGTGAATTGTACTCACCGGTCAAATTACTTTACAGGTCAGATAGTTAGCTAGTTAGACAGGCAGACAAGCCAACGTTAGATAGATAGATAGATAGATAGATAGATAGATAGATAGATAGATAGATAGATAGATAGATAGATAGATAGATAGATAGATAGACAGATAGATAGATAGATAGATAGATAGATAGATAGATAGATAGATAGATAGATAGATAGATAGATAGATAGATAGATAGATAGATAGATAGATAGATAGATAGATAGATAGATAGATAGATAGATAGATAGATAGATAGATAGATAGATAGATAGATAGATAGATAGATAGATAGATCTCAGCACATATAGAAATATCCGGTAGACGTGTGGGATATCCCCTGCCTGTTGTCTGGACCAGAACAAAGTTTAATTCAACAACCCAGACGTTACCCTTGCGATCAGAAGGACAACTCGAGACTTTCTTCTCATCACTAGGGCGTCACAGTGTGCGATCCAGTTTGTAGCTGCCAGTGCGCTTATTTTGAGGCTTTGTTTGGACGCCGCCATGCCAAAAGTATAAATCGCTGACTTTCAGATTGAGTTACAGGACACCAATGAATGCTGTCTCTCTGTGGTAAGCGATGTGTGAAAGTGGACGAACGGCTGGTGAAATACGCTGCAGGTATGATGACCTGGACATCCTTGGACCTGGGTGTTCTTAAAGTACTTCATTTACATTATGAATGTGTGGGCAAATTACCATCCTCAAAAGACTGCTCTTGAAGAAAATGTCATCTAACGTTGCGGTTTCAAAGAAGGCCTTTTTCGCATTTCATGTCTTGGCTACTTCTGAAAGATATTCGTCGAGAAACATGTCGATACTTTCTTAAGCAATGAGTTCAATGTAAAAAATTTACACCCAGGCAAGAATTAGCGCGGTCATTTTGAAGGATGCCAATAGCAACCTCCTGAATGACTAAAATATAGATCCGTGTTCTCAAATGTAGAGCTCTTGTTGTACGGTTACATTTCAACACATGGTGACGGCATCGGGTGCCTCACTACGAAATTCACAGCATATCCACGGGGTGATGGGTGATGAGTGGACGAAGCTCCGGAGGGAATCACCGGTAAACCGTGCATCTTCTGCGTAATTCGTCCTGTCGATCATCATTTAAAGACGTGAGAAACGGTGTGTGTGTGTATACCGTGCCGCTTGGGTCTCCCGCTCTCGTATGGCAGGATTTTGGTGGCGGCGGCATCGCGCAGCTTCACGTCGCGCTTCTGCCTCGTGGGCTCGCACATCGGGATTCTGTCTGCGCGCTCGCCGCTCTGCAGCCTTGTCCAACCGGCGACTCCGAGCATGCGCCACCAGCGAATGAATTTTATAACAACGCTTGCTCTGGCGTACGTCACCGCACTAAATCGAATGATTGCCCTCCAGAAATGACACGCGCCATTTGTGACATCATTCATATTGTTACGTACAATCCAAATGGTGTACGAATAACTGTTTACAGGGGCTAACTTGTGCCCGAAAAGTAAAGGAAAATGGAGCGGCGTCTCTAACAGGCGATCTGCAAAAGGGGATCAATCTCCGAGAAATCCTCAAGCGGTGCACCACTTCTTTTTCATCAAAATCCCGTGCTGAAGAGGCGCCCGCCGTCATGGCCTTTTCTTGTTTCATCATCAAGCCGCTGATCTCTTGGGGGGCGCACGAACTAGCGCGCGTAGTTTGAATACTGCGTTTGCCTTGCGTCAATATTATAACATCTTGCATGTTTCATCATTAACCACAAGTACCGTTATTAAATTTTATACAATCTAGCATCTTTTCATCAACTACACGTACTGTCATATAGTGAACACTGCAAAAGCTTAACCTAGAAGTGCCTGCCTACCTACTACAACTACATGTCTCAGAGGATGTACAAACCCACGACTAAAGGAGATTCGCCCCTCAAAAAAAAATGAATACCCGAGACCAGTGATATTTATGTGGCATAAGCGTATACTTATTTTTAAAAAAGTATTTCTAAATACGGGACGATGACGTGCGGACTTGGCTTGTAGCGAAAGGTCGTGTTTGAGACCCCTAGTCTAGATAATTAGAGAAAGAGAACGTCGCAGCTGACTCCAGTCAACTGCAGCCTGGACACGATCGCGCGAGAGAGCTCTCGGTTTGCACGAAACACGCATGAACTCAGAATATACCGTCTCACAATGCAATGATCCATTATCCTGCAATGCAGGTAAAAAAAGTATAAAATAGCACGATATCGCTACACAACACCTGGGAAACAATACTTTTGTGTTGCCCCACCCTCCTTCTTTTCCAGTCCAACGCTACAAAATACAATAAACCTTACTGGGACCAGCTAGACTGACGTAACGAATTCGCGATACAAGAAAAGAAACCCTTCTGGAACTTCGTTAGAACTGTCTGGAACGACAGCCAGGTAGAAAAAAATATTGAATAATTTTTTTTTTCATCAACCTCGCTGCTCTGTGATGACGCGGTGATGGCACGACATTTGCACTAGAGGTTTTTCGCGCTAGCTCATAAGCGCGGTCGTCGAGACTTATTGGAGATAAGCGAGCACCGGGTTGGACCGAAGGTGACCACAGGTGGACAATGACAGCTACAACGTCGTCAGCAGGTGCTTTCCCCTGCTTGCCTGCTTGCCATCCCTTTGTCTTCGCAGTCCTCCTTCCTTCGAGTCCTGGAGACGGCGCCTGGGCGGCAGCGGCGTGTCGTGCAGTGTTGGGGCGAAAATACCGGAACATATTGGAAGCTGCATTAGTTTCGGAAGCTTCGAGACCGAAACACAACGCCCCCAGCGCTGACGACGGGGGACAAAATACTTCGCAATAATTGGGGGTGTGATGTAGTGATAGCGTAAGCTGGCAAAACGACTTCATCTACAAGACAAGGTGTTTTCAAGACTCGACGTCCCACCTGTTTACGCACCCGCTCCGCCCACCCCGCAAACGTCAAAATCGTCTTGACCGTGACGGAACCGGAAACCCAAAGGAAACTTGACCGTCGTCACGAGTTAGCCTGTAGTCTGCTGTTAACGGATTTCGGTCGAAAGTCTTCGGTCTTCGTATGCCTTTCCTGAACAGTTCGCACTGACCGGTCATGCTGATACGATTGTCGATTCTGTTGGTGACCTGCGCCTTCTCGTTGGCGGCGGAAGTCCGCGTTGTCGACAAAACGGAAGACAGTCCTTTCCCCAAGTGGCTGATCGAGATGGGCAGTCGCGTCAACGAATCGGACACAGCCATCTACAGCACCCGAAGGCCACGCGTCACAGGAAAGGTGAGTGCAGATACGCCCATTTGTCATGTTATTGTTCTTCTATGATGATGTTGTTGTTGTCTTGTTGATGATGATAACGATGCTGTCCTCTAGAATTGGCATCTCTTTTTTTTTTTCTCGCATAATTCCATCACGTCAACTGTGGCTTTCCGGCTTTTTGTATTTTCGTATTATCAATTTGCCTCCGTCATGGTGCCCGCGCTGCTGTTTAGCTATTCGGGAATTCTGCTTCTTGAATCTCGAATCTTCAAACTTATGGTCATGAGCCTTCCCAACGCTGGATCCGATTAGAAACCTTACGGTCGACATCGACCTCAATGGGGCTGCTCCTTTTGGGACATTGCGCGCACCAAGTGTAATTAATGCCAAGATATTCAGGCAACAATACCCGTGGAAGGTGAAGACGCTGCTACGCCTTGTAAAGTGGATTGACCGACTTCCGGTTGCAGTGCAATACTCGAGGGAATTTTGAAATACGGATGAAGAAAAAAATGAAAATCAGGAGATACAACAATTAAGTGGAATTTGGTAACATGAGGGTGTAATTGCATACTGCAGAAAGCAGGAGTTGTATGAAAAGCAAAAGAAACAAAATCACAAAGTGCTACTAAGAGTACTGCATGCTGCGAAAGCTTTGGTAAGACCCTAATTTTAACCAAGTGGTTTAAAATAAGGTTTAATTTCGTATAATTCCAATGGGGGCGCAGATATATATTCTACTCATCATCATCATCATTTTCTTCTTGTTTTATTGCAACCATTTCTCCTTTTCATCAGGCCGTTGTGGTCGGGATTGAAACGTCGAAATAGCGCTCAACACTGCAACGGATTGAAGCCAGTTAACACCGCCAAGTTCTTTTTTTTTTTCTCATTCCTTTACCATGCGGTTCTTTCTAGCATACGTATAATCCTACTTTACAGGTCACTGTGTGTTATTAGAACCCTTTCGTGGTTTTCATTTAGTTCATTTAGCGAGACTTATGTTTGCTCGCGTTAGGAACTTGAGGTTTTCAATGTCTTGACTTATATTTCGTCCACAGTCGCCGTCTTTCCTTTCTTGTTGTCTTGCTGCAACGTAAATATCTGTAAGAATTGACATTCAGCAGCACCTAGATATGCCGGCGGGTTTAACGTATCACGCATTTAAAAGAAGGGCAAGAAGCACGCATGCATACTGTCTGAATCGTACCACTCGTTATTCGCTAGCGCCTCCTTGCCCAACATCGCGACCCAGCACCAACATACTGCGTTTTCCATTGTACGCAGCAGTCTGCTCAGCTATTGTGTTCGCTCTTTCTTTCCTTGTTTCCATCTTTATTCCCAAGGTCAATTTCCTGATGTGAATAACAACCAAAACTTGGCATTCTAGTAACTGGCCTGTTTTCCTTCGTTTCGCTTCCGTCCCTAGAACCTGCCTTGTCACAGCAGTAGACAAATGAAGCGCGAACAAGCTATGGTTAACAATAACGCGTTCTCTCGTATACTTCTTTTTTTCTTGTGGGGGGGTGGGGCGAATGTCTTCAGCAACTAGCCTTCTCCGGCGATGTGTCAGCGTCCACACTCGTATCGCAACACCTACACAGCTGTACCACCTGAGCCGTCTTTCTCTCCGTCCATCCATCCGTACGTGCATGCGTACGGACGGATGGACGGAGAAAGATGCGGACCCCAGCTCTTCGCCTTGGTTGTAATTCCTTCTTTCTTCTTTAGTTATATTGTATTGAATTTGATTGAATAGAATTGAATTGATTTTATACAAGTGAAAAAAATACACTTTGTAAAGAGAGGACTAAAGGATCAAGTTCTATTAAGACGAAATCCTTAGATGGTACATCAAAACAGACAAGTGACCGTTGGCGTTAGCACGATGAGCGATGCAGAAAATGATGATGTCACTTAATACGCCACTGTGACGTCTCAGGTTCTCTATTATCTGGCTTCAGCTAACGTGACGTCAGATGATGGCTTGACACATGGCATCATCGCTTGGTCACAGGCGGGATGACTCATCCTAGCATTTGCTTTCGGATGACGCGCAAAAGAACGTTAGGATGACGTGCAGAAGAAGACGAAGGCTTCCTTCGAGAGGTCTTAGACAAAAGCACAAGGGAACGGGACTGATGTTTGGCCCATTTACGGGCTATAGAAAATAGCTTCTCAATTTCACAATCTCGTTGAAATGCGCAGTGTCTCCTTGGCCCGCCTTCTTTTGCTACAACTGGTGTTTTTTTTTCCCCTTCACCTGAAGAAATGTAATGTCCCTTTGTATACACATGTGTTCTCATAAGATGGCTTGCAACAGAGCGTTGTTGCGTTCCAATTTTTTTTCTTTATGTAGGGCGTTCACAAGAACTAAACATTCATTTTTCTGTCCTTGTGGGTCCGTGGGACGTCACGCCGGTCACTTCATTTGTGTACGTTGCATTTTTATAAATTTGAAAAAGAAGGGTAGCCGACCACATACAATTACTTCTTTCTTTTCGTAACTTTATTTATTTCTCGCCAAAACGACCTGCCTCAAGCAGACACGTAGGCACATTGATGAAGCTGCATAACCACATGATAAAATTTTAAGGACTCAGTTGCATATTGTTTGAAACCTTCGTCCTTAGTCCGTCAGCAGTCTTGAAAAGATTGAACGAAAACAATGGGAAGCTAGTAGAGTTCGTTCGCATACTTGGACGAAGAAAGATTAGCTGCTTTCATAAAGTTTAGAACATCCAGCGCGCTTGTCCATTTAGTTCGTGTGTTCCTACGCACGCGTGCTGAAACAAAACGTTAAGGGATTGTTCTGTTTCTATCAATGTTTGTTCCATCGGAGCGTGCATTGAAACAAGAAATTATAGACTCTCTCCCTCTCTCTCTCTCTCTGGATGATCGTCTTCATAGGAAACTACAACGCAGAAACTTTTATCTATCTATCTATCTATCTATCTATCTATCTATCTATCTATCTATCTATCTATCTATCTATCTATCTATCTATCTATCTCTTTATCTATCCATCTATCTATCTATCTATCTATCTACCTATGTATCTATCTATCTATCTATCTATCCATCCATCCATCCATCAATCCATCCATCCATCCATCCATCCGTCCATCCATCCATCCATCTATCTTTCTATCTATCTATCTATCTATCTATCTATCTATCTATCTATCTATCTATCTATCTATCTATCTATCTATCTATCTATCTATCTATCTATCTGTATGTCTGTCTGTCTGTCTGTCTGTCTGTCTGTATGTATGTATGTATGTATGTATGTATGTATGTATGTATGTATGTATGTATGTATGTATGTATGTATGTATGTATGTATGTATGTATGTATGTATGTATGTATGTATGTATGTATGTATGTATGTATGTATGTCAATCTACTCGGCCACTAGAGCGCTAGTTTAACCGTCTTGCTGAACGACCACCCATCTTGGTCTCCTGGGGACGTTTATACTAGTCGATAGTGTCAATCAAAGAGCAAATGTGCGTATTTGGCCGCAACTTCAATAGGGTAATGTTATGTAGCGTCTTACTTTATCTTTAAAATACATAGATACGTTTTTTTTAAAGATTGCAGTGCTTATTAAGGTGCACTGACAATGTGCCGCCGTGAACAAAAAAGCGGGTGTTTTCTACGCTTCGCGAAAACTAGAGTAACTGTATATGCTACCTTGGAAGAGCAGGAAGAGCAGGACGAAACTTTGTTGTTCATAAAGGGAAGGAGAAATGGGGGAAACCAAGTTTGACGTGGGCTAGGTTGGGGCCCAAGGGGCCGCAACACTAGCAGACCAGCCCACCAGCTTGGCCTGTATATGCAAATTCGGGCTCCTTAAGGACCTCTCCCAAGCTTCCGGTGAGGCAGATGGCTGCAGGAGCCTCTCGGGTGGAGGGTTGTTAAGACAAACCCAAATACGTGGTCTTTTCGTGCCTGTGCTAGGTCACAGTTTACACTTGTGGTCTTGTCCTGCCTGTGCTAGGCCACAGTTATTACACTTGTGTAGCTTCTCATCTTTCACTATTGCGGCCAGCATCCTCGGGCATAGTATACAATGAGTCTGAGCCCTTCGCAGTGTTGTCGCTTAGGCCCCGGTTACTGCTTCATCTGGAGGTGGATAAAGCCTTCTTTGTTCTCGGTGCCGGCTGAGCTGGTCTCCGTAGCTGAGCGCCAGGTCATTCGGATTTGGTTCCTGGAACCGCACCACTGCCCGGTTTATGTTCCCTCGGGCTGTCTGGTGAGCGGCCTCATTTCCTGGGTTACCACAGTGGCCTGGAACCCAAATGAGCCTGATTTCTTGTCGAGGTCGTGCTAATTTCGCAGTGCCGTTCTATTTGTATACCCTGCAGCATGTGCCTTGATAGCCGCCATCGAATCCAATATAATAAATTTTGTGTTCTCAATGGTAGTTCCAATAGCAATCACTGCTTCTTCGTCCTCGGTTGTGGAGCCAGCCTGAATGGTTTCTGTCCGCAATGTTCGTCCATAGCCATCAACTGCCGCAATAACATAATTCATCCCGCCGGCGTGACTGGCGTCCACATACGCTGCTGGTTTGTTGTCCAGTGCTTTTTTGAGCGCGTCCGCCCACGCTTGACGACGTCCTTTCTTTAGACTACCCACGTTTTTTGGCAATGGCAGGATTTTATTTTAGCTCCGATTTCGTGAGGTATTTTAAGCCTCAGTGTGGTTCCAGTTAGTGGTTTTAACTTTAGGAGCTTCAAGACGTCATGTCCTTGTCGAGTGCAGGATAGTCTCCACCATTGTGATGCTCGTTGTGCTTCAATTATTTCGTTTACGGTGTTATGTACAGCCAGTTCCAAAAGTTTCTTGTTGCTGACCCAAGTGGGCAATCCTAAGGCCACTCTGTAGACTGACCTAATTATTATGTTGATTTTATTCGTTGCATCGCTTCTGAGGTACAAGAAAGGTTCATGTGCACGTGATTCTACGAATGAAGAAAGACTGGACTAACTCGCAGGCTTCTTTTCCTTGTAGCCCATGATTCCGTCCGCTTATTCTTCTCAGGAACCCGATGCCTTGTCGCGAAGTGGTTTCCAGCCTTTTAAGGCTCTCTCGAACGAACCATTTTACTTCTAAAAATAGGCCGAGTATCCGTATGGTGGTTACTTTTGGTACTATTTCTTTGTTTACCGTGATGTTAAACGTGTGTCTAATAGCTGGTGGTAGTTTAGTCGCTATAAAGAGCTCTGCTTTAGCTTGAGAACATTTAAGTCCATTCAGTGCCGTGAAAGCTTGCACTGTGTCGGCTGCTTTTTGTAGAGCTTTCTTGACATCGTCTGGGCTTTCTGTTCTCGTCCAAATCGTCACGTCATTTGCATATATTGCGTGACGAATATGCGGAATATTTTCCAACTTTACTGGCAGTTTTCTCATCGGGCAGCTAAACAAGAAGGATGACAACACAGTGCCCTGTGGTGTACCTCGTGCTCCGAGTTTTATTACTGGACTTTGGATTCCACCAAATTGCAGGATGACAGTTCTGTCTTTGAGAAAGGCTGAAATGTAGTTATACGTTTGCACTCCCACATTCATCTCAGCGAGATTAGATAAGACTGACTTGTGGATCACCTGATCAAAAGGTTTTTGAACATCTAATCCTAGTACTGTCCTGGTGGAACCGGGAATGACTGAGTCCACGATGTCTTTTTTATCATCCACATGATGTCTTGAGTGGACATACCTTGCCTAAAACCGATTAGGGTTGGTGGAAATAGTTGATGTTCTCCTGTGTGTTCATGAAGTCTGGCTAAGACAGCGTGTTCCAGTGCATTTCCCAAACATGAAGTCAGAGATATTTGCCTTAAATTTTCCAGCTCTAACTTCTTCCCGGTTTAGTAATAGAAACTTTGGCTTCTTTCCAAGTACTGAGGATGTTTCCAGTGTGCCATATGTCGTTGTAGAATTTAGTTAGACTTCGGATAGACTTATCATCCCCATCTCTCAGTATCTTTTTTGTGACACCATCTCTTCCCGCGGCCGAGGTTGTCTTGAGATTTGCGAGTGCTACCTTGACTTCAGCTTCGGTGATGTCTGCATCAAGTTTTTCGTTGTTGGTTCCTTCGTACGGGGGATAGGTGGCTTCGCCTTCTTCCAAATTCAGGTACCTTTCCATTAGTATATTTATGATGTCGTCGTCCGTGCTTTTGAATTTCTGCGCCAGAATTCGCATGCGTCTTTGTGCAGCCCCTTTAGTGTTGTCTGGCTCCGATAGGTGCTTTAAAAGCGACCACGGGTTTTTGGAGCCTCTGTTTTTAGAAATTACTGCTAGATGACGCCCCTGTCTCACGCTGCGCCTATTCGCCGATTTTCTCGCGCCGAACGTCAAATAAACGTTTTATTCTCTCTCTCTCTCTTTCTCTATCTCTCTAGACAGAAGGCTATTGTCTTTCGACGACCTTCGCCAGAAAAGCACGCAGATATATGCCGCCATTTTTTTTCAATCGAGAGAATGATAAATGGTCACGATATTTGTGATATGAAGTGTTAATGATAACTAACAAGGTTTTTTTATTATTGTGCCTAACAGAGAAGACGAATCCCTAATATTATTTTACGTCATAAAGTGGTAATGTGGGCTGCCGGAAGAGCTTACATTTTATTCTTAGGTCATAACCGACCGAAGGTGGACCGAAGAAATTTAAAAGCATGCAGGCATAGAACGCAATCGTGTGCTAGTGAAAGACAAGATGAATAAAGGGCCATCGGGACGGGACATATTTTCGGAACGGACGCAAAGAATAGGCTAAGGATGACGATAGCGTGCGCGCGCTCGCAGACAGATGCGTTTGCGAGGATGCTAACAATAGCACGTTGTTCGGACTATTGTAATACTCGTTCATGTGACGTCACAGGGGAAGCTTCCCATTGTACGGTACCGAGGCGTGGCGTCACGATGACATTGGTGCGCTGCATTATCACACCCACGTTTTTTTAACTTTCCAGTATATTTACTGAGAAGAAGGAAAAAAAAAACACTATAGTTATCGACTTTGAGTCGCATTTGGGCAAATGCTTAAAGGGCCGTGTGAGCTTTGTTTATTTTTTTCCTTTTTCCTCTGGATTCCTGTCTTATTTCTTACCCACTTCACAAACTTCACCGAGTAGATGCATTTCCGCATCGCAAGGATGAATTTTGGGAACCTTTTCACCCTACACCATCATCAAAGCAAATTTATGGTATTTTACGTCAGATGAGCTATATCTCAGTGGCAGTTATCCCGCCTATCACCTTTTTTCCCTCGCGCAGTAAATTCAGTCCGCTGTATTGTCGCTATGAAATGTATCGTTTTTTTTTAATCTTCATCGCGCATGGTATTAGTTTTTATTTGGTAAAACATAAACTCGTTTTAAGATTGTCGCAGCTGTGACATGCAACCGCTCCCTTCTTGTGCTCAACAAACGCACACTTTCGCTTGCTGTTTGCATGCGTGCGTCATCTTTACATGTATATACTTATCTATGATGCTTGCTGTTTATTATATTGCAATTGTATCTTTCCTCGTGGATTTTTGCCAAATCCATATGTATATGTACATGTATCTAGTGTATCGCCCCTCTTACTCAATGCCTCCATCCCTGGGGCCTGTGAGGAACCTTAAAATAAATAAATATATAAAAAATAAATTTAGTCATAATCGATTTCGCAGTCGTTCATGTCGTTTTAAGATGCTGTATGCAGCCTTGGCTCGCAATTCAGTGGGAGATACAAACTTTCTTGTTTCTTTACAGGTGAGGGGAGGCACAATATGCCTCAACACCGAAGAGTGTGGCGTAGGCAAGTGCTGTCTACGGCGGGGTAAGGACCCCCGACGGAAATGCAGACGCTTTCAGCGCATCGGCCAGCGATGCACCGACGACCAGATGATGGGCGGCTACTATCAGAACTACTGTCCCTGCAACAGGCACTGTAAGAGGCTTGTTTTCATGCCGGCACGTCATTTCTGCCAGTAGAAAGTGTCGACGTGTTATATATTGATTACATTAGAGTATTAGAGCACTTTATGGAAATGCAAAAAAAAAAAATATGAGTGTGCTTGTTGTGATTCACAATGAATCTTGTAGCACACACACACACGCACACACATATACGCACACACACACACACGCGCGCGCACGCACACACACACACACACACGCGCACACACACACACACACACACACACTCACACACACACACACACACACACACACACACACACACACACACACACACACACACACACACACACACACACACACACACACATGGGTGAAGCAATTGACCACGGGACGATGCGCATTGACCCGTGGTCAATTGCTTCGCCGTCTTTTTTTTTATTGCTCCCTTTTTGTGCTACAAACAAGATTCCCCACGGACGTATTGTACGGTACGATGGTACCACTCCTGCTTTCGCAATCGTGTTTTCCGCTGGTGAAGACATCCCAACAGCACAAAATATTTTTTAACTTATTATGAGATGATTACACTTGATTGCTGCCTGTCAGTTTTGCTAAAAAGGCACCTGTTGTCTGGGGGACGTTTTGAACAATGTCAAATTCTGCCATCTTGTCAATTTTTGTAAACTGGAATTTCGAACCAATCGGCGAGGCTGCAGTGGCCCTTCGGAACAGTCAGAGAGTACCAATGGCGCAATTCTACAACGTAGCGGACTTCCACTGTGCCCAAAAGAGGACACAGGAACTGGGAGAGGCTTAGGCGTATTATTGTGGTGCAATGGAATTCAACCCCGAATCAACAGCGAAACGGAAACCGAAGCACTGATGAGCGCAAAAAGCAGATGACTATAATGACTTCACCGTAAATACGACTATTACAGATGTGTAGTTCTTCCGCGTTCGTTGACGTATGCGCGTCATGCGTGCTGTAACTGGAAGAGCAGCCCGCATAACGTTTCAACAAAGCCAGTTGATGGTTCATATTGTTACGTGGTTTCGGCTGACTATAACAGGGCATAATGGGACATACCCAAAAAGGGCGCCTCCGACTGAGAGTGAAGAAGTGGACGTTGTTGGTGAGCTTTAATGGCGTTTGCAGTTATCTTCATGAAACAAAACGAATGCGCATCTAAATTCCACTTTGTATATTCGTTATTATAATATTATTAAGGAAATTCTAAACATACATTTTAAACGCGTTCGAAAGTACTGCAATTTCAATTCATGATCTATATTCTTCTGTCTGGTCGAAATGGCAAAAGGAATTATTGCACTCTTTCTGTATTTACGTGTGCTTTATCCTCATTCTGGTAGGATTAGGTATCATTCGAAGGGCCTTAAAGTTCATATCCTCAATTCTTGGCCTATCTCCGTGAGTGGGCAAGAGCTATAGTGGAGGAGGCATCATCATCATCATCATCATCATCATCACCAGTGAGCTGTGTTGTGGCTGCGTACTGACTACTGTTATTTTCCACACAAAATATACTGACGATCACTCATTCTGGACGTCTTGAAAGAATGGGCCAGCTACGCTCTTGCATGTTTCAATTTCACCGCTGAACTTAGGCGAATTTCATTACTTTGCAATTATTACTGAAGCCGCCACTTTTATGAAATCTCAAAGCGGCAATGACACTTTTGCATGAAGGACTTCGATCGTCCCATTCGACATAACCACAAAATTTCACTAAGTGTAAGGTTAATTTATTTGCCTTAGTTAATTATTGTACCAAACGATGTCTTAATTGCCTTGTTAAGATGCCTGTGGCTGCAGAAGAGGAAATTGTGAGGGCTGCGAACAAATATAGCATTTTCTTTTTTTTTACTTTTTGTCATACTTATTGAAAGGCGCAATATGTTTCACCTCTGTTCATCAGATATTCAGTTGTAAGTAAGCGCATCGCCCATTCGCCACTTACTTTGTCCACGCCTTTTTGTGTGTCACAAGTTTCGCCACGTATCCTCACTAAGCAACGCATCCTTGCATCTTTTTATATTACCGCTTAAAAATGCTAAAGGTCCGTAGCGTCTATGTGTGTGTTGTGGTCCCATTTCTCTGGCGTCTGTCTCACGCCCATCCATCATTTAGCCAACGCGTGAAAATACTTGAATTGACTTTGAAAACTTTTCTTCCATCGTAGCCATCTGCTCGGTGGTCGGCCACGTCCTCAAGTGCGTCAAGAGACAACCGACACAGCGACCGGCACCGCAAGGTCCTCAACCGACCCCGCCGCGTGAGGAGAAGGAGAGCAAAGAGAGCGAGGAGATATCGACACGACCGGGGACGCCTCCGAAGAACCCGACCTTCAACCAGACCAAGCTCGACTTTCCGGAAATACCAGAGTTCTTCAAGACTTTCGGTACCTCAGATACGTTGCCGTTTCCAAACGAAGAAGAAGGAGGAGGCGGTGAGGAAGGAGGCGAAGAAGAAGAGGAGGCTGGGAGACAGGGTGAGGACCTGCCCGAGGACATAAATGAAGGAGGAAGGGCAGCACAGCCGCAGGAACCGCCAGAGGACTCCGACGAGAATGAGGTGTCTACACGGGGCTCTACTCGGAGCCCAGGCGCTCGCCGTACTTAGCAACCAAGTTCTTACGTGTCAAGAGGTAGTCGTAGCAACCAAATACACGCGACGCATTCTAGTGTGGGTCCTACTGCAGCGGCTAGGCTTCCCAGGCACAATATTCCTGGCCTGCCACCACCTCCGGTAAAATGCTTCTTGGCAGCGATGGACGAGGCATGCGTAGCTTGCTTTTAATCACGACTGACAGTTAATGGCTTAGTTTCTGGTAATAAGGCAGGTGGTATTAAATTGACGCGTAGCCAGAAATTTTATTCAGAAGAAGGTGGGGGGCGTAGCCAATGTGTGCCACTGGTATTGAAGGGTCAAATTAATGCTTCTGGGGGCCTATTGGTGGAAGTACGTCATTTTTGCTGTTAGGACCCGTAGACATTGCTTCAGCTGGGAAGGGCCTTGATCAGAGGAACTCTTGGTCACTATACCCGCAACCGTCCCGCACTGCCTCTCACAAACAACTGCTTGCGTAAACGAGCTTGAGGATATATAGGATTAAGATATTTGAGGCAAGTGTAGGCATCCCTTCACATTGTTCCCATGCCGTAACTTACGGAGCAATACCTGCCTCCGCCCTGAATACCTGGTCCCTAGATTTCCTCAAGCGAATCAATGTGAGATGCTATTCAACCATAAGGCCTCCCGTAGTCTTCCATACGTCCTGAAGAGTTTCTTTTTGGCGCTGCCTCAAGCTCGTATTGTGCGAAAGGCAAGGAGCTGGCCCTGCTCTGGGAAACAGCACACGACTTCAAATTACGCGTTAAAAATAGTTGTAGGTGTAATAGTGCTATTGTGGCTCAATGTGTGTGAGACAACGCAGTTTGTTAGGTTGAACTTGTTTGAATTAAACAGTTTATATTAGAAGTTGAACCGTGATACCTTCATTCACAATTCAGGATTAACTCGGGGCATTCTAAGCCTTGTACACGAGAAAAATTTCAGCACGTTGATCACTTACGAATACGAATGTTAAGCGCACTCCCAACTCTTCTGCATTATAATGCTCTTGGATCCAGCATTCAGCACAGCTGTTAACCTTGTACCTTTCGCAGATGTGTATGCGCTGCACACTGCACTCATAACATCATAGAGCCTCTTATTTGGGACTACTTGGGTCATTTGTATAGTAAACCGTAGTACATAGAATCTAAAAAGCGCAGGAAAGACAACGAAATACCCAGAGTCACACAGACACAGCGCTGAACTCGACTGTTTTATTGCTTAGAACACAAGGTTTTTTTACAACCTGTATCAAAGCAACGGGATGGTGATTGGATGAAATATTTCAGTCATCTAGCGTGCAGTCGTCTAGAGTTGCGCTGTCATTCTTGTGGCTGCTCCCCGCATTTCGAAGGGTATACACTTTCACAGGCAGGCATGGCGAGCAACTCGTTCGCGAAATATCGGAGGCAGCCGAAATTTGGAGGCTCGATTGGTGATAGTTGTGTCAGCAGGCGCTGGCTTTTCCCTCTTACAAAAAGAGGTAGGGGGCCGTCAAAAGTTCCCAGTCTACTATCCCGTGTATTCCTATGGCAGCGTCACCTGGGAATTTTCGACAGCCCCTGTGCATTACCGAGGGCACATGCCTCTTCAATAGCTTTGTGTCGATGATGTATTATATTCGTAATCATGAAACCTTCATTACTTTGTTTTATGCTCGTTTCTGAGTTTATTTCAGGATTTGTACGTATAAATACTTCTTTTATTTTCTTTTTGTATATCGTATGCCAACTTCGTTTTTAGGGGCGAAGCTCCTTAGGGCGTGGGCTGTGCGTCCCCTGTAGCCTGTATGTAGCCACCTCTAGTTTAGTTCTTGCAGTGTTCACAAGATGGCGGTACCGTCCCCTGTATGTAGCCACCTCTAGTTTAGTTCTTGCAGTGTTCACTAGATGGCGGTACCGTCTCCTGTATGTAGCCACCTCTCGTTTAGTTCTTGTAGTGTTTACTAGATGGTGGTACTTGTAGCTGATGATGAAAAGATGCAAGATGTTATAAACTAGAAAGCGGTACTTGTAGTTGATGAAAGACGCGAGATCTTATAAAATAGGAATGATGTCACATATGGCGCGTGTCATTGGTTGAAGGCAATCGTTCGATTTAGTGCGGCGACGTACGCTAGGGGGAGCGATGTAATAAAATCGAGTGGGCAAAATGTACAGAGGATTCATGGTTTACCAGGTTTACCTCCGGAGCTTCGCCCACTCATCATCATTCACTTCGTGGATATGGCGGAATTTTTTTTTAGGTATTAGACTACGCTGCCACCATTCCCATTGATTGTTCATGTCGGAAACGTGTCATATGGAATTAGCATAAATATGCATGCAATCACCTTCCCGTCACGCTGGTGCGTGCCGTAGAAAGGCGTTGCGATCGAAGCGATTAAGTAGCGGTGAGTTCGGAACTGTTTCGGTGTGTCTGCTTATGTAACATCTTTTGTCCTGTTTAGATATTCAGTATTTGAGGAAACTTACCTATGCATCCGTTTCAGCGCAGCACTTGCAGCTGGCGTAAGTAGCAATACATACAATGCTAATATGGAGGCTTAAAACAAGGAAAATCACGTAGTCCGGATGTTATGTAGTTTAAGTAAGGTGTTTCTGAGTGTGTAGCAAGTACCCAAGGTGGCTCTTGGTTTTCGGCCCTCTTTGACAGGGAGAGGTAACATCAAATATCGTTATCACTCCAGGCACAAGCCACTGCGGCTGTGATAAAAACGAGGCCCTTTTCCGGGTGATGACACGCGCATCATCTTTCTATCAACCAAGCCCATCTCAACATCTAAATATGAGGCTGACTGCATGAATAGCAAATTGTGTTTGTTCAGAAGCACTGTTGCTGTCCAGTACTTGCACAGTGCTACAGTTGTGACTTTGTATTTGTTTTGTGGCTATAGTGTCACACCAGACTCGTTCTTTTTACACCTTGTTCCCTTTCCAAGTATGGGGTGGCAAAGAGCAGACTTCCTTTTATTAACCACTCTCTGCTTGCCTTCTCTCTCGCTCTGTCTTTCTGTAGCCCGACGAAGAGCACTCAAGTGTGCAGAACTGGTATTCATTCTTCTGATATAAAACTGCACGTGTATAAAACTATACGTGAAGTAGGCGGCGAACTTTCCATTTTCGCACTAAACAGTTTAGTCAATCAGAGGAGGTTGAGGAGTCAGAGGAGGCACCGTGGATCTAGAAAGACCGGTATGCTGTCCCACAACGGAGAGAGAAAGATGGGGGATATGGAAAATTTATGGTGCCGAGATAGAAGAAGAGTGGGTACTGACAAAGTCTCACGCATCTGTCACAATATCGCCATGTTGTAACTGTACGGGTCACCGTTCATCGATTTTCGTGTGCGGGAGTACTTCAGGGGCCCAGGTTCTTGCGTGCGGTCATCGCTGGGTGTGGCTCTAGCAAAGCCACGTTTGGAATAGTCATATGTAGCGTATGGAGCGTGCTCACACCAGAGGCAATATTTTTTACAGTGAGAGCTGTCATGAGATCACTTTTTGGCAGGTCATGCGCAGTTGCATGTTGTTCTCCGCCGCCACCGCCGCCGGAGTACGTAATCACATCGCGCGAAATTAGAAAAAAAAAACCTTGCACCAATGACACGGTGAGGCTTGAGCACAGGGCCACTGGGTGCCAGCCCAGTATTCTACCACCGACCTACACTGGTGCTTGTAAGTTGTTGTTACAACTTGCCTTAGGCAGGCTTGATGTCGGGAAAGCAATCGCGTTAATACGACTTATAAAGCTTTTTACAACAGCAAAAAAAAACAACCAGTCGTCGCACAATGCAAATAGCGTAACGAGTTGGCCGTCCAATGCTCCAACCCATTACAAAATCTTGTTCCTGTTTCCCTATGAACTGTGGCGCGTAGCCACTTCGGCCTTGATTCCTCATCGTCGTCAGCCACTGCATGGACAATTCGCACAAAATTCCTAGCAGGTGTTTAGCGGATACCACGCTTCTCAGAAGAATGACCAAATATAGCATAGCGAATGGCGGCGTACTACCCAAAAGTTTGTTAATAATGCCCTAGTGAGTACCAAGCAAGTGTGCTTGCAGTAGTTACTCAATGAGCGTTTTGAAAAGGCTCTGCAAGGCCGCTCTTCTAGCTTTCGCTGCGACTGTTGCGCCTGCCCTTCAGGCCTGGCTTTTGTTGTTGTTCTTCGAGCGTTTTATCAAGCGCTGAGCGCTTGAGGGGCCCGGACTGTTGTATGTGGTCGTCGCTTGGCACAACGCAGAAAAACTGCGTATAAAATTAGAAAAAAAAATCAAGTGAGAAATAGAAAGAAGGGGAAACAGAAAAGGGAAGAGAATATAATGTGTAGAAATGAAGTGAAATAAACCCTCAAAAACTGGAAAGAGGAAAAAGCCGGAGGAAATGAAGAGGAAACCCAGATAAACAAGGCTGCCCAGCTCCGCAATTCTTTCAAGCTTGGCCTTAGTGCGAAGCTGCTTTTTTTTTAGACATTACATGTAGGGAAATATTTAAACGGTTTGTGAAAAACTGATAGACGATGCACAGAGTGGGTTACTCTCGCACCCTTTCCTGATGCCTACCGCCTTTTTGCAGAAATAAGTAGTCAACACAATACGCGATGTAACCGCAGGAAATATATACAGTTTATTTTGCATCCGTTTTCTGTACAACACTTGGGACATTTCCTCGAACATTTTTTTTTTCTGGACGCAAGTAGAATAAAAAGAAACCTTCTCAGGGCGTGCTGGCTCGCCGAATCGAAACATTTCAAGAGGGCGCTGTATGCACGAAAACATAGCTCAGTATCTGTAGCTTCAAAAATGTCAACATTTACTATATTGATAAAATATCTACACAAGTGCATAGATGGGTTCTCGTCATTTAACTTACATGAAGCCTCATTTAGGATCAATTTGGGCTCAATTTCGCATTAACACAGGCCGTGCAGATCCTTTACACAGCTTTAATGAAACCCTTGGCGCCAGCGTGGAGTTGCTTGAATAACCGTAGATATTGATGAGCTAAAGTAGTTTAAAGCCTTAACTACAAGGTTAAGTATCTATGCTTACTCCGACGGGTTAAATGCATTGAAATCGTGTATTGCTTTTGCTTTGGGGACGGCCTTTGCGTGGCACACTGTGCTGCAACCACGCCTTTAGCTGCCATTATTTGCAAAACGCCTGTAGAGTTTCCTTTATCAGGTTGTTTGTATACGGTGGACGTATTCGATTCTTCTCGCAAGGCCAATGCCTACACGAGTTCAGGAAAAAAAAATACTTCCTCAGAAAATGACTGCTATTTGAAGTTGTCTAAACATCACAGTATTATCTATATGCACATCTCGCCATCTATCGCCCGTAGATATCGGAAATTATTGCACTTCTGATCACGATGGCATCCTTGCTGTGTACCAGTTGGCGATATCCTGAAGGACTTGTTGGGCCATTTCATCGGGTTCTGTGAGTAGGCTGTGGTAGCAGTCCTTGTAGACCTTTAACAAGAAAGAATGCTTCGAATGTAGGCTCTGTGAATCGTCTGAATTATTTTCGTGTAGCGCAAAACGACACACTGACACGAGACGCAATGGTAAGGACACCACATCAAGGACCCCACCAAGGACATCACGCAGCAAACAGAGCATTTGCTGTATTGATACAGGGTAAAAAGCTTTATTAACTCCTGAAGTTATGATCCATCAACACAGATATGCTAATTAGGAAAATATCAATAAAGATATAACACGAATGTTACACAGAAAACATGAAAGTGCAGTAAACTACCTTTATTAGAACAGCAGGTACATTATAATAAATGATCTAAAATCTATGATACGATTATGAGGGTCACCGTTAGTGGAGGGCTCCGGAAATTTCAACCACTGAGGCTTCTTTGACCTCGCAAGCCGTGACTGGAATCGAACTCGCGACTTGTGGGTCAGCAATAGAACACTGAACACTGTAGCCCCGCGGAGGTTGAGAAGGAACATGTTGAGTGGAAGTGCGATGCGAGAATATTCAAGGTGCGCAATCACCAACTCGCGGTGGCTCCAAAGCGTGTCTCGTCTTGCGTGGATCCAGCCTCGACTATGAGCTGCAAATATGGTTCTCGTAGACCTTGACACAGGTATTTTGAGACACCCGTTTGTAGGCAGCATGGTACAAATAACTTTATGGAAATTACTTTGAGAAGTGCCAACCCCCAGGGCGACCTTGACGGTACTCTCACGCGGAGCAGTTGAAGCTAGCCTAGCCGCCACATGGCAGACTCTTTGGATAGCCCAAAGTGGATCCCACGAGTTCTTGCGCGTTTTGACGTCCCCACGCGATGAGGGGCACCACCAGGGCATGTATTCTAGATCGCGCGTCGCCCATCAGCGAGGGCGCTGTGAGCTGAACTCGTTTGGAAATTAAGCATTTCGTGAATGCAGGGGCATGGCCGTAATTTTTTTTCAAGAGGAGGAGGGGTGAGGGTGAATCATACTTTATGTATGTTCGAGCAGGCGTCTGTATGTGTGCGTGTAAAATTGCATTTTACTGTAGCTCTGTCTCCCTGCTATGTACATCACAATCATTCTCAATTCTACATTGTACAAGAGGTCCCCTTGCAGTCTCTGACTATGGGACCTCTTTCTGTATATCATGCACATGTATTCTTAATTTAGCACAATAAAACCTTCTGTTCTGTTCTGTGTATACACAGGTTGTCCCACATAACCTGAGCCAAGAATTTGAAAATGAATTATACTTAAGTGGCGAATTGAACCAAACGCGTATACTACTCGAACTAGCCTGTAGGTACTCAGGCTATTTTTCGTTTCTCCCCATACTAATCAATTATTTTTCTAATTACCTATTCTTTATTTATGGACTGGAAACCAATAATATGAACACTGAGATGCAGAGCACTTTCAGAAACCACCAACTAAATTGTTTCCTGTGAGATACGTCTAGCGCTGTTATTTTTTCCGCGTTGTAAAGAAAGCCTATAGCAGCACTATACCAGAGTGGTCGCGGTCCGTCACACAGCTTCTTTTCACATTTCACGGGCTTTCTTTACAACGTGGAAAAAATAACAGCGTGTGACGTATCGTACGTACGGGAAACAATTTAGTCGGTGGTTTCTGAATGTGCTCTACATCTCAGTGTTCATATTTTGGGTTTCCAGCGCATTATGAACAAAATAGGTAATTAGGAATTATTAATTAAGTAGTATGGGGAGAAATAAAAAATAGCCTGAGTAACTACAGGGTAGTGCGAGTAGTATGCGTTTGGTTCGATTCGCCTCCTAAGTGCCTTTCACTCTCAAATTACGGGCTCTACTTCTGTGAGACACCCTGTATATATACGCAGGCAAAATTGAAAAAAAAAGAAAAACTATGTGGGCTGGGGGTGGAACACCCCTTGGTTCCGCCCATACGTTAAAGCCATACTAGTATAGGAGGTAGTCTGGAGCATCCTAAGGATTATATCCTGTGATCTCGTTTGCCTTGTGTGGTGGCGTCGCTTTATAGCAATGTTTCTACCTCTGCGATGCCGTGTAGTGCATACCTTGAAGCTCTTGTCCTTCGTGGGCGCCTTCTTGTAGAAATCTTCGGATCCTCCGATGTCGCAGAGCTTGTCGGCGGAGCCGTGCTGAATCAAGAAAGGCGTGTCGATCGAGTCGACCTTAGCCTGGAGGTCCTGAGGGGAAAAAATGGAGTTGAGTGTTGAACAACTTAATCAGCTGAACCAAACAATTCACGCTTTCCCCTCCATTCGCTTTTCCGCGTGTTTTCGGCACTTTCAGGTCCTTCGAATTCTGTGATGGTTTGAGCGTCCTCTGTAAATGCTTTGTTAATGTATAGATTGCCTTGAGACGTATCTTTGCGTGTAAGACGTGAAGGATCGTCACTCAGGCGCCGCAGGGCCGCTGTTATTGCTCCAGGCGAGGCGCCAGGAGTGGGTAAGGGGGGATACCTTCATTAGTTCTCGCCTTCCCTCTCCTTTACCGCTTCCCCCAAGAGAAAACGGTCAGAACCATGCGCAAACATCAAGCGTACCCGTTCCCCCCCCCCCCCACCCTGTCACTCTGACAAAAGAACTCTCTTGTCCAGGGAACCTCTGCAAAAAATATAGTGCCACTACTGTATCACTCGCCTAATGCCACCTATGCGTGACTGACCCGACAACAGCCTCCGCTTCCTTGAAGCTTTGTGGCCTTGAGCGATAAGGAATTAAGTCCACGTGCAGGTAACGGCACAAAGAAACTGACCCATGCCCACGTTTCTTTCTCTGCTCCTACAAGCCGCTCATCTTAAGTCAAAGTGGCGTTGCACAACGAGACAAAGAAAAGACTTGCAACCAGATGAGCGCTCCTCACCGCTGTGCATCTCGATTTTTTTCCCCTTCTCCGTTTCGCTTTAGATATGGTGTGACGAAATCTCTACGTAGATGCAAGCCAACGAAGTGCATTTAACGGGGCTTCGTGAAAGAACTGAAGATTGGACACTGAAAACTTGTTGCCGTTACAGCTGTCATATATAGATCTGGATTTACCTCCACGAAACAGGCAATAAGGGGATTTTTTTTTACGAATAAATTGGTTCCAGGGTACCACTGTGGCAGCGGACAGCCTATAAACACGTTCGTTGCCGCTGTCCTTGCAATAACACACGTAGACTGCAGGTATAGTTGCTGTGTTGGCCCGCCTTGGCGACAGAACGCTGTCGGAACAGTCAGTGCTGAATGCCGACCCGAACTGTCGTCCCAAGAGAGATCAATTAGGGCTAACTGAACTCTTTCGCGCGGCAGTGGCCTATTGGATGGGCTATACCAGACCCGCTTTGCACTTTTCTTCGGAAGCTGCCGGCTTTTTCTCTTCTCTTTTCATTCTATCATTCTTTCCCTAACCCCCTTGCCTTAGTGTAGGGTAGCAACCCGGATGCTCTCGTTGCTCTCCCTAGGCTTCTCATTTTGTTTTATTATCGCCCTCTTGCACAAAACATGAAAGCGCTACTCTTACCGCAGAAGGCTCTTGGTGAGTGAAAAACAGCGTAAAAACTAATCTACAGGAGGTGACGCTGCCTTGAATTTTGCTCACTAGTTTGCCATGACGTAATAGATTTTTACAGAGTCCAGTGAGGACCTACGCTATTGCTTCTAGCTAAAAATTTTCGCTGTGTTAATTCTAAAAGACACAGTCATACCACAGCAAGTTTTAGCGAACTTCACTGAGTCCATGTGGCCGAAATACTCAAGAAGTTTTAAATTCGCGGCTTGATGAGACAGATGCTTGGGCTAGTTGGTGACTGGGAATCAACATATTTGCACAGTGTAAGACTGCGAGTAGTTACGGCGCAAATATTTGTCTCTTATTCCGTAGTTACGCCGTAGCTACTCGTAGTCTTGCGCTGTGCAAATATGTAAATTCGTGACGTCACGAACTCATCCACGGGCTGGAGTTTCGGAGTGAAACTTAGATTAAACATTAACCTTCATTTCCTCGTGTGGCAATTTACCTATGCTGACAAAATTAACGACGATAGAGTTTTGAAGAAAACATTCATGTGTGCGAACTCATTTCACGTTTGTCTTCATGCAGCATCCCCTTAGGTGGTGAAGGCGATCGTCCTAGCACACAGGACGATCGTTCGAGCGATCCTCCTGTGCCATGACAGTAAATGCAGTGAAGGATGAACTCAGACATCTTAACAAGCTCAAAAACTCTCAAGCTTGCGCTTGTCAAAATATATAAGTTTATTTTACGCCATGTTCGGTGTTTAACGTAGAAGTTATGATGAGGCGGGATAGGCACAAACACGCGCAAGCGATTTGTGAGCGCCCACGTTTCTGTACCATCTGACAAATTGTGACCTTAACTCTGACTACATCACACCAACAGGGCCTGAAATCTACCCTTTCATTCGTTACCAGCTTGCTTCATCGCAGTACAAGTGATTCTATAAAAGGCCCGGCGCTTCAACCGTTTTCATTCCTTCAACCATCGCCCGTGGTAACACGAGCCACGCGCACGCTCACCAACTTACGGGTTACCTTATGTATTAGCGTAAGAGTATTCGAAAGCGAAAACCGCTGTATTGATCCTGCCTTGCCCCGCCCCATTAGCTAGCTGCGCTTACAGTGGTCTCGCACTGCACCAAGGGTCGGAGGCATTGCATGCATCCGGCATCTCGCCCGACTTTGCTCAACGATATGTGCGGATGAAGTCATGTGACGTTGCTTTATGTGACGTCAATGTTACGTTGCAAACTTCGGGGAAGACTACATTGGTGACGTCGTCATAACGTGTTATTTGAAACACTCGTGTCATCTTCGCAAACAGTGAGAGACAACGACGAATTCCCGCGTTTAATGAGCCTTGTGGGACATTTTGGTTCCATAACATACCTCTAGCGCATTGAGCATGGCCGCGGCCCATCCGACGCGTACGTGGCCGTGGTACCGCAGCGGATCCTTGGTCATCTGGTCCACGGTCTCGGGGTCCTTGGACACCAGCGACAAATCCAAGTTGCCGATGGGAAGCGTGGGTACGATCCGACCCAGGATGCGAGCCAGGGTCATCTGATGATGGGATGTAGCGAAGTGGCGGACAAATGTTTAGGAATATAGTAGTGTTTGGTTGACGGATAGCTTTACGCGACTATACTCGTAGCTGGTTAAGTGAACTTCACTCGCCCCTATACCAGCTGTACGCATGCGCTGTCGGCCGCAAAAGTTTGCTCTTTGTGCAGCGCGTGGCAGAGTTAGAGAAAACTTTATTTTGATAATTTTTGAAGTTTATTGAAACTTAGACAAGACGAAGTAGACATCTGCTTCATCTTGCCAAACTTTCGGTGCTCTTAGCAATTATTTTTAAAATGAAGGTTAACCAAATGGCCCCATCGCTATTTTGCTACAGAAAACTGCATTTTCATGCCACTCACCACCGCACGGCGTGGTGTTGAGGCTGTAGATCGTGGCTTCCGAGATTAGTCCTGCAACGCACCGTTACTACGCCATGTGACGGTAGGCAGCGCAACAATACAGTTTTCGGTCACTTCGCCCCACGCTGCACATCACGCAAACTTTTGTGGCCGATAGTATACGAGCATTTATAAGGTCAACCACATCTAAGGTGAACATTTATTTATTATTCAGACCAGCAAAACTCGAGCGCTTATTTTCTTTCCAGGGAAACTGTCGTCATACGAGGTGTAATGTCGGTGTCTACCGACTAGTTTTTCGAATTACGTATTAAGAACCAGGCTCTATGAGAGCTTGAATAAGAACATGATGTTCAATTCAGATGTGGGCGGCCCTATGAAGCGAACATATAAATTATGAACATGTGAACTATGAACGCGAACATATCAAGGGTAACCGCAAAAGAAGCGAGTTTTTTTAATCTGATGAATGACTTTCCAAAATTATACGCTTAATTTTTGTAGTTTCAGGCATGCAACATTGTAGACGCAACAATATAATGACACCGAATTGATTCTTCTGTTATTATGTTTAACATGTGTTCCCGTTACAATTTCCTGTTCTCGTTCAATCTGTCCACGATGTAAACACCTTGGTATCACTGCAAGAATTCTACTGAATATTTTCATTATATTAGTTGATATGGTCTTCATTGTGTAACTGTGCAGAACATTGGTCAGGTGTTTCACATATACGACGTTCACGGAAAAAACGTATGCAACGGCGTTTGAAAAAAAAAAAAAAGACAGCAGGGGTGGCACTTTCACTTCGGCGTTGCAAAACTAGTAAGAACGACATGGTGTCTATTAGACTATGAGAAGTAATAGTTCAGCGACAAGCATATTAAAGTAGTGCCTTCCACTGAATCCTAAAGGAAAAAAGGTTCGATTAACATCGGTCGATGGGTTTTACCTGTCAGAATTCGCCTCCAGCCTTGGCCAAGAACGCTCGCTTTTTATCATCTGCTGGCATCGATCATGACATTTATAAGCAAATAACTACATCTTGCACACGCGGCAAAAAAGCGATATACGCCTTAATCAGCCGCATACTAGAAACAAATTTACAATGCCCCTGGTGTTTTCTGACAGATCAGAAAGAACGCAAGCGGACAAGGACGCGGTAATCATTAATATGAATGAACTAGGAGATAGTGGGCCGAAATGAGCGAATACAATTTGAATACATCTACCTATATTCAAAGTTATCTTATGCCGGAAGCGGTGTTGCTCAGAATGGTGTTCCAAAAAACGAGGTTCCATAAGCTTTTTTTTTTTTTTGGAATACGGAGAAACACCACCGTTCCCGTGAGTATCAGTGGAACTGTAACGGTAATTTGTTACGTTTTGTAAGGAATGGCATGACAAATGGTGTTCTTTTTGTAAACGTTCCAAGGCATTGAAAAGGCGCACGCAAGTACGTCATGAAGAACAGGGTTGATAGGTGACCACCTGAGCTGCCGAACTATACCACTTGCCTGTAACTTTTTCTGTGGAGGCGAAAATGCTGCAGGCCGTGTGCTCAGACTTGGGTGCATGTTAAAGAAGCCCAGGGTGGTCGAAATTTCCGGAGCCCTCCACTACGGCGTTTCTCAAAATCTTACGGTGATTTTGGTAGGTTAAATCCAACATATCAATCAAATCAATCAATCATCTGTTACTTTACTATGATGGTTTTCATTTCAAGGCGCACTCCGGGGGGGTGCAGGGAAGTGCGTTACACCGAAACCGACCACGTTCTAGGGGAACAGAAGCTTTTTTTTTACAGCAGATTTGATTGATATGATTAATATGTAGGATTTAACGTCCCAAAACCACCGTATTATTATGAGAGACACCGTAGTGAAGGGCTGCGAAAATTTCGACCCCCTGGGGTTCTTTAACGTCACGCAAATATGAGCACATAGGCCTGCAGCATTTTCGCCTCCATCGGAAATGCAGCCGCCACAGCTTGGAATCCGATCCCGCGACCTGCGGGTCTACAGCCAAGTACCTTAGCCACTAGACCACCGCGCCGGGGCGCGATGTAAGACTTGTACAATATACGTAGCCAGATGTGAACCTTGAAATTTTCACCCGATTTCACCACAAGATCATCCGTCAATACATTTTGAATAAAGAGTCAAATTAATGTACCGACACGTTCCACTTTTGAAAATGTAAGCAACGAGCTCCATTCGCATTACAGGAACCTGTTACGCGAGCTCGTTTCAACATTGCCAAGGAACGAGGAACCAGATTTCGTTACAGTTTCAGAGGAGCGTGTAGAATGCGGGCCGGGGGAGCTTTTGCTCCATTTCTGGATAAGCCGGCACGCGTATGGTAACGTAAGCCGAAGTGACCTGGCACGTACGTGCAGCGCCGTACGCAAGTGGATAGATTGGCTATATATGCGTGACCCTGACCTACCGGTGCTTCACAGCTATATGCACGAGCGGCCAAAAAAAAAGAGAATCACGCACCGGAGCGTAACTGACCACCTGTGGCTATTCGGTCATTTAAGCGACGCAGGCAGCGCCATGTAGCCGTGCTCCGAAGCTGTCCACACTGTGATAAAACTGCGACGAAGTTCGGTCTCTCAGTAGTCATGAACCAACGAACGCGTCTTCACGCTCTGCGACGCTGTGGTAGTAGTGGTTAGAAGATGAGAAAAGGCACCTAATTTCTGCAACCTGGTCGGGAGCACGGCGCAGTGCCTGTGCGACGCTGTAGAGCACGCTCACGACCATAGCCTCCTAGATTTCCCTTGCCTGCCGAGTGAGCGCGAAACGGACATCATCTATGGCGGCGCTGCCTACGTAGGGGTAAGCGTCTGTGTAGTTGGCCTTTGAGATCGGCAATTTTAGCATTTGCTACTAATTTCAAAGGCTATGCTTTGTATTGAAGGAGTTGCCTGCTGAATGACGGCGTCACTTAGATGGGGTAATTATAATTACGTTTACGCCCTTTTTAAAATTTGTTACGTTATTTTTGTTGCATATAAGCTCCAAAAACGTGAAAACTTATTTGAAGACATCGCTACTTAGGTGGCACCACCACCATACTTCAGACGAAGGCCGCTTTTCAAGTGACCGCCGAAAATCCGGCAGGCAAAGAAACTCTAGCAGGCCATGTCGCGACATTACCCATAGAGTTTCTTATTATACACTAGAGGGAACTCTGCGGCTAGATGATATAGTGCTAATGGCCAACAACAAGGAAGATTTGCAGAGATTGATGGACATCTGCGGTAATGAGGGAGATAGGTTAGATTTTAGATTCAGTAAGGAAAAATCAGCAGTCATGATTTTCAATGACAACGAAGGTAGTGAGCTTAGAATACAGGAAGTCACGCTAGAGATAACAGGTAAATACAAATATCTGGGTGTATGGATAAGCAATGGGACCGAGTATCTGACGGAACACGAAATATACGTGACGACTAAAGGTAACAGGAATGCAGCAGTCATGAAAAATAGGGCACTGTGGAATTACAATAGGTATGATGTTGTGAGAGGAATATGAAAAGGGGTCATGGTTCCTGGGCTGACGTTCGGCAATGCGGTCTTGTGCATGAGATCAGAAGTTCAAGCAAGATTAGAAATTAAGCAACGTGGAATAGGTAGGCTTGCTTTAGGAGCTCACGGGAATACACCAAATCAGGGAGTACAAGGTGATATGGGGTGGACATCATTTGAGGGCAGGGAAGCTAGCAGCAAGATAAAATTTGAGAAGCGATTGAGAGAAATGGGGGAAGAGCGTTGGGCTAGGAAGGTTTTCAGCTACTTGTACATGAAGAATGTCGATACAAAATGGAGAAAGCGAACCAGGAAGTTGACTAGTAAATACTTAGAAAACAGCAGGTGGCCAAACCAAAAAGAACTATCGGCTAAGAAGAAAGTGAAGGAAACTGAGACCGACATGTGGAGAATGGGCATGATAAAGAAGTCCGCACTAGAGATCTATCGAACGTTTAAGCAGGAAATTGCCAAGGAAAGGATCTATGATAATACTCGGGGTAGTTCTCTACTGTTTGAGGCCAGAACGGGAGTACTGCGAACCAAGACATATCGGGCCAAATACGAAGGGGTAGACACAGTATGCAGTGCGTGTGGAGAGGAAGAAGAAACTGCCGAACACTTGATAATGTTCTGTAAAGGGCTTCACCCTATAGTTCAGGATGATGGCGCAGAGTTTTTCAAAGCACTGGGGTTTAGGGACCGAAGGGCAAAATAAACTTTAAGCGGGTAGACTTAACTAGAAGGAGGTTATCTGATTGGTGGCTAAAGTCAAAGCACGAGTGAAAATTAAACTCTTCACTTCAAAGTACGAATCCTCAAACTCTTTTTTTTAAGGAAAAAAAATAAAGTTTTTGGTTCATTAGGTATTACGGCTTGGTGGCGCTAGCCACCGCCCGATCTAAAGGGTACAGCCATATCCATCCATCCATCCATCCTATGGGAGCTGCAACACACGACGCTTCAGCGAGCATGGGAATGATGGGTAGTACACAAATTTGTCTAATCTTCGTACTTCTGGCCTGCTTCTGGCTCTGTGTGTGTTCGTGTGGCTTAGAGCTGTTTTTTTACGAAAACATAAATTAGCAAATGTTCACCGTTTGCGCTTCACAACCTTATTCTTTTAGGCTTACCATTTCGAATCAAGCCACCAAGTTCAAAAGGGTTTGTTCTTTCAAAAAACCGTAACCAGCAATAAACGAAGCCGCAAGTACGATTCGCCGCCCGCAAGTACGAAGACTAGGCAAATGTGTGTACTACCCATCATTCCCGTGGTCGCTGAACGATCGCAGCGCCAGAGTGCCCTCCAGTTAATTTTGGGAAACTCTGACATTACCGTCTCATCCGCCATTTCGACGTACCGTTGCGCCGCCTACAGTCGCTGGAATGTTCCACATTGGCGTCGTATGCACGAGCGGACTGGAATCCAAGTGACGCTGAGCACTCGTTATCTCGCAGTTATCTTTAGGACTGTGCACTTGACCTAAAGCGTTTTCCCATTCAAACCATATTTTTTCGTCCAACAGCGCCCTGTACCGTGGACTTTCGAGTTTTACGATTAGAAGCTAAGTCAATAAAGTGGGACGGTGACATCTGTGCTGCATAGCAACCGCGATGAGACGCCAGCGCGCCCTTGACGCCAGCGTCGCTGAAGGGCAGGCGAATTTCTGCTACGTATAGTTCGCGCAGCTTTCGAGTTAAGAGCGAGTACATCATTTTTGATCCAAGAAGTTCGCTTTAGATATACGAACACCTCGGTTTTACGAGGTCAAAATCACGATACAATTGCGATGTCCGTCGCTGTGAAGAACTCGCGTTTAATCCTGAGACGTTTGTGTCCGTTAGTAGGTTATTCATATTTTACCGTGCGGTTGCTTATGCATTTTGAGCCCCATCCTAATAAGGCTGGCCGCCATTAGCGCAGGATTGAACCTACTCTCTAGTTCTCATCGCAAGGACGTAGCCACCAGTGTTATGTACGACGATGCAATGCATTGCAAGGCTTAAGTTTGGGGCTTTTATGATTGAAAAAAAAAACAAATTGATTACAAGCCCCGTGTACAGAAAACCACAATAATTTTGACCGCCAGAAGCTATTGAAAGTGTTACGTACACATGCACGGCAACGCTGTGCATGCCGATTTTGAATTCAAAAGTCGTTTGAATATAGTTGCCGACGACCAAGTTCGATCCACAGGCCTCCGCGACGGGAAGCTCCGTCGGTCGATTAACCGCGGCGTGTCAGCATCTTTTTCGGGAATGCCGCCACAGGCACCGCTACTATTACCGTCGTTACCACAATTAACATCACCATCATTTTAATACTGGCGCTACTGTTGTTACCGCCAAGGCGAACGCAGCGTACCGTTAAGCACTTAAATTTACTTTACAACCACCATTAGCATCATGCCACCACCACCACCACCGCTACAAGAATGCCACCACCCACCACAATTTTCAATATTGCCACTATTACTAACATTAGTTCCGATTTATATATAGACGGTTTCAAGGTGACAAGCTCTGTACCCTAGAAAACTTCCGGTCACTTCATTTACCAGTTCCTAACGTGGAAACTCAAAGCACGTTTTCAAGTTTCCTTTAAATGTAAGAAATGTTTTTCTTTAGTTTTTAAGATAAAAGAAGCGTGCGAAAAGTTCGAAAAAATCTCCTGCGGTTTTTATGTTGCTCAAAAGAACATTTATTTGAATATATCTTGCCAAATATGGGAAATAAAGTGTAGAAAATCAGCGGGCTGTTTTCTAAAGCTCTCCTTGCCGACCCATACTATTTTTTTCACATCGGTGGACGAAACCGGATGTCATCAAGGGGCTGCGTTTGTAAACAGTGAAAGGGTCTATAGCTACCACTACCAGCATGCCATCACTATTACACCACCACAGCATGCCACCTGCAGTATGCCACCACCATTTCCAGATTTGCCCCCCCCCACAGTTACTACCATCACTACTTCCATCACCACTATTACTATACTATCGTTACCACTATCACAACCACCAATTACATCACCACTGTTAACATCGTTACCAGTTCCATCACCAGCATTGCCACCACCACCACCACCAGGCCACAGATCCGCATGCCAACACATCCCCACTGTTAACATCGTTACCAGTTCCATTGCCAGCATTGCCACCACCACCACCACCAGGCCACAGATTTGCATGCCAACACAACGCACCTTGAGCCAAGTGGCCTGTTCCTTATCGACGGCTAACATGGGCGCCATCATTACGATGCCAGCGATATCCTGGGGTCTCCTTTCGGCGGCCAGGGCAACTAGCAAGCCCCCCTGTTGGAGAGAAGCACGTCAAGTCTTAGCGAGAGCGGTGTACGGTTACCTTGGTCCAGCTGCACTGCACGGGGTCCAGCCAAAGGGCCGGGGCGTTCAGCACCATGCCGGAGAATTGCTTGGGGCGCTCCAGGGCACTCCCGACGCACATCGTGCCACCCTTGCGTCGGTGAGAGAAGAGTTCCAGGAGGCCACCGGAAGATGTTAGTAAGGCAGGCAGGCAGGCGGTGAGTAAGACGAGTGATTAGTGGAAGACTGGAAGTAGCATCACGAGTGCTATTCTGGACACTCAAATCGTCATACTGTCGACTTCTTTAAAGGTGCCCTACTTCAAAAAAAGTGTCCAGAATAGCAGGTCCAGGCATGCGAAGGACAGATTAAATTGTGACATTGCATGCCAGAGCCAGTACGTTGAGAAGGAAAGAGTAGTGTAGAATTCGTAGCATGACTGGAAAGACATGTAACAAAAACTTGTCTGCGCATGCGTGCAACTCTACTTGTCAATCCCGTACAAGCGAGAGTCAACGCGATAGATAGCTATTCAGTTATTCATCGAGCCGGTGACTGAGTTAATTTAATTGACGACTGACTCACGTTTACGCTACCTCTCCTATCGCATGCGCGACTATTATCTCTCGCGTACGCGCCCACGTGTGCCCAATGACATGTAACGCGCATTAATTCACAAATACTGGCATTCTTGCGTACATCAAGCTATACGCGAGGTCATCCGTTCCGACACCTTGTATCATTATCAGGCGTACCCTAGTGGAATAAACTTCCGAAATAGTTTCGTCGGTAAGTCCAGATTAATTTCGACCACTTGGGACTCCTTAACGTGCACCTAAATCAAGAGTACACGGTTCTCGCACTTCGCCCCCGCCATAATGCAGCCACCGTGGCTGAGAGTCCGACCCGCGTGCTGGAATCTCGAGCGTGGCACCTTATCTGCGGCCACTGCAGTCAAATAGAATGTCATCAACTTGTCCCTGCTGCGGAGCTGCTATGGTCACTAATGTTTCGAAAAGATTGCTGTGACAATTTTGTTCCGAACAACAAGCCCGTTTGGCGTCAATCTGTTGCTTCCCCTCACCTCCTTGTTATTTCATTTTTCTGTATTGTTCGCGTCAAAGAAGTTCTCTTCTTGTTTCGATATGTACCAACTAGACCCAACGCAAGTTTTACTGGAGCCCGCGTAGCAATCAAGAGGAAATTCTAAGCTGCTCAGCAAGTCCGATAACCAGAGAGTACGGGTGGCGTGCGAGTGCTGAATCAACCGAAAAGCAGCTGGACCACCTTTTCTTTGCCTCGTCTCCCGCAACATCGCTCATACTGCCACGAACAAAATCGGTAGCATTATTTCAATTGAGGCAAGAAGAAAACGGAACAGGGAAGTCGATGTGCGCGCAGAAAGTCGTGAATATTTACCAACCTACATGCGACAGCTTTCGTGATTAAACTGACAAAGAACACATTTCCAAGGAAAGCCTATCTGGATGCTAACGCCTGATGAAAGATTGTGCGTAGCCCGAAACTACTATACTTAGATGACGGGAAAGAAATGAAGATTCTACAAAATCCGGTGCGAGCGGGCGCCACTCGACAGCATCGATCTGTCAACTCGAGTTTAATAACACCTCCGACGTTGTCAGCAGAACGGTAAGAACGGAGGCGAAGGTTCAGAGAGGGAAAAATATGTTTTCGAACGTTTACAACCTGTCGAGCGTTTAGGAAAAAGTAAGCTTTTTTTTTTCTCAGTCTGACGACGTTTTCGTTCTGGTGTTTGAAGAAAAGAAGAATAAATGAGCTCTAAAGGAGTTCTGTGTACTAACATTCATGCAGTTCTAGCTGACACGAAACAGATGAAAAAAAAAATAAGAAGAAAAGATCGCGTCTAAAAGTTGGTTACCACAGCGTCCGAAATCTGGTGATGAACAAAAAAAAGTAGAAGCCTGTTTTAATCCTAAGGAAAACTGAACTGCGGGCTATTGATTCGACTGTTTCCCTAGCTTATATGTGTCAGCGCCTGAATTTGTTGTGTTTAACTTTCTTTTTTCCGGTTCTTGCGTGATTATGTATCTTGTATCGCCCTGCCACGGTGGTCTAGTGGTTAAGGTACTCGGCTGCTGACCCGCAGGGCGTGGGTTCGAATCCCGGCTGCGGCGGCTGCATTTCCGATGGAGGCGGAAATGTAGGCCCGTGTGCTCAGATTTGGGCGCACGTTAAAGAACCCCAGGTGGTCTAAATTTCCGGAGCCCTCCACTACGGCGTCTCTCATAATCATATAGTGGTTTTGGGACGTTAAACCCCACATATCATTATGTATCTTGTATCATTTTCTGTACTTGTCCTCCGACTTGTCATTCTCTATTCTCGATTCTACGGTCTCCTTTCTACCGTTTTTGTTTCACCATGCTTGCTCCTGCCTCCACGTAACCCGGTCCTTCACGACTCACGAGTATAACCGCTGCCTTTCGCAAACCGCACCCGAATGCACGAGCGTGGCTTCCAAGATCGAATGTCGGCGCAACGTTCCTCCGGCCTGTCCCATTCGCACGCAGAGCGCGCGTTATCGGAGGAAGCGAGAAAACTACTCCCGCCGCCGCACCGCGGCGCGCGCTCCCCATAGCTCGCTTCCGTCACGCAGTTACGCGTGGAAGCCGAAAGCTTGGGCAATGGCAGCCTCTGTGCGACACGCAATAGAAAATTGCCACAAACTTGTACCGACTGAAGAAAAAAACGTTGCCTACTGGTGCGATTGGGTGACAGGGTAGAAATAGAGAGAATTAACGTTTATTAGTACTGTCAGTAACTAAAGTGGGTGGTGCCCTTCGTCCAGAGCTCCCCTGGCTACAGCGGCTCGCCGGGCCTGGTCCAGGGTTGCCAATCGGTTTCCCAAGACCTGATCCGAATGTCGCGCCTCCCTCGACCAGTGTGGTAACGTGTGTAAGGTGGATTAGTTTGTAGGTCATAATCGTTCAGAGAACTGGAAGCGCGGGGGGGAACACACACAAGAAGCAAAGAGGCATACAGCACGAGCGCTCTCTATGAACTGCTTTATTTTTCACGCACTGTCGTCGTATTCTTGTCGACGTATGCGCACGCTTGGGTATATGTGTGTTTTTTGAACGTGAAAAATAAGCCAGTTGTTAGTGATGAGCTCGTGCTGTGTGCCTCCTCTTTGCTTCTTGTGTGTTTCCTCCGCGCTCCCAGTTCACTCAGCAATGGCCTCTTCGATTCTGACGCTTACGTAGGACTGCGGGGAGAGGCACATCGCCTTAAGACAGTTCGCTGATGTCATTTGTTACGTTTCACTACGTGTTGGTAATTCCCTCTCGGGCACGCTTTGCAGCAAAAAACACTCCGAATAAAGACAAACGCTGATAGGTCTTCTCACGTATTGTACTGTGGCTCTTCAGTATTTTTTCTATTTATTTATGTATTTATTTATTCAAAATACCTTACTGACCCAAGAGGGCATTGTGTAAGGGGAGCATAAAAAGAATATAGATACATGAATTTGCACAACGTATATGCAAACAAGAAAAAAATGATTATTATACAGCTCCTGTGTTTTAGGTACAGCTGTTCTAAACAGCCTGCAATTTATAAGGTTTTCTACATTATGAATTGAATTGAAGTGAATGTAGTAATCACCTTAGTTGAAGTGCTGGTCAAGCAAGAAAGTGATTTGATGCACCAAATTAAGGTACACTTGGGTTGGGGTAGAGGGGGCAGACGAAATCTCCTGAGGATACATGTCACTTTATTTACGAGAACAAGAGCCAGAGCCTCGATTACCATCATTTCTGCCTCCCGCGAAACAAAAAAAAAAACTGCAGCCGGGTATACCTGCACCAATGTGTGAGCAGCCATGTCACACGTATTGTCACAAGGTATGAAACTATCACGGCCTTGGGAATGATCACCAGACACAGCGCAACCACGAGTCACTGACGCAGTCATTTCCCTGTTGTCTGCATACGTGCTCCATGTCTGCCGGTGGCTTTTTTTTTTACAATTTGACATTGTACCAACAAGCCCAGTACCAACTAGCCCACCACCTTGGTGCGACAGATAGGGTTATCAGACAGTATTAACAGTGAGCGCATGCAGTATTACCGTCTTCAAATGGATGTGTCCAACTGTGTTAGCAGTGAATGTACATTGCAAGGAAGAACGCTCGGGCAGCGTTAACATGCTGAAACGCGACTACACTGACAAGTGCACCAAGCAGACACCAAAAGCGTGTTAATTGAGAGCTCAGGACGACGCGAAATAGCAAAACGTTCACGAAAGGCATCTGACACTTTCAGAGAGATTTCCCAAATGCGTAAAGCGGTCGCGTTGGGTTGACACTTTATAGGCGTAATTGAATCAACGGGGACAACTGACGCGCTTAAGCAGTGATTTAATGTTTATGTTAAACAGCCGCGTCACTTACCTCGCAAAGCACAATCAATCAATCAATCAATCAGAACTTTGTAACACCCGTGAATTTTTATTGTCTTCGGGGCTTGAAGCAAGCCTAGGCATTTCCACCTTGAAGAGCTTTGCGCGTCTCTTACCCCGCAAAGCACAATCAATCAATCAATCAAATAATTAAATAATGAATTAGAACCTTATGTCACCCGCATTTTTTTTTTTGTCTTCGGGGCTTGAAGCAGGCCTAGGTATATTTACCTCGAAGAGCTTCGCATTAGTGGCGTACGATGTTCACAACGCGAATTTACACGTGATAAGTGAAACATACGCTTACTCAGTGCTGTGAAAGTTTCAGTTGGTATCACAGCAAGTAATAAACAGCTCAGAGATACAGTATTAGAGTTGAATCTTTAACACAGAATAGACAGCTTCGTTGTTTAAAGCAACTGACTGCGGAAAGTTTAGTAGAACCGCCATATGACTTAGCTGAAATCAGTTCATGGTTCGTTCGTGCTTAAGCGCGAAAAACCGCTGACAAAGGAGATATACAGACAGGACGAGCGCTTTCCAAGGACTGGTTAAGCGCTCGTCCTGTCTAGTTTTGCTCCGTGCCCCGTGTTTCGCACTTTTTCAGCATGAAATTAACACTGAACATCAAATTTAACAGGTTTTGTATAAAGCCGGCATTACAGGGGGCGGGGGGTTTGTGTAAAAGATAGGATTTACAAGAATATAAATTAAGACGTGGTTAGCAAACCTAAATGGTTTTCACGGTGCCATCAACTCTGACGGACTTTGGATTTACAAGCAAATTGTAAACAAAAACGCTGAGAGGGCCTAGATTTGAGTTTATCCTGTTACGAGTGGTACCCTGTGACATATGTTCATGTTAATTGCATTAGCACCTTGTTTTCGATTGGAAGAATGTGAACACCTCATATTTCGCAATGTCGAAAAAATTCCGGAGGAAAACGGAGGTTCACGGCTTGTATGGGGGGGGGGGGGGGGTGACAAGTTGTAGGCCGCTATTTCACATTTTTATGCAAGTATGGCTTATGAACTTTTGACCACGACTGTACGTCACGAAGGAATGAATTACGTGATCCTGCGAAATTGTATTTAAAAAAAGCACTAAAGCTACTTTGTGCGGAAATGAACAGGTCAGCTTGCATTGCTTTCCGAATCTTTGCAGACTTGCTATAATGAACGTTTCAGACAAGGCTCAGCGCAACAGCGTAAATGGGGTATCGATTTTTAAAAGCTTAAGCTTGTAATCTCAATTTCACACAAAACAATAATGAAAATGTAAAAAAAAATAACCATCGTGTTTTTGCAGAGTGTGGACTAAATGCAGCCAGCGAAAAATGACCCCCCTCCCCCCCATCTTCCTCCACCGTGCCAGAGCGGGACGCGCTAGTTTTGATTAATTCGACACTGCCATCTCCCACATCCGGCGCAACTGAACAGGACAAGCACCGTGTTTTTTTTTTGTTGTTTTTTTTGAAATGGAATGCACCACGTTCCTCTGACGACGCTTGCTTTGTCATCACATTCTGTTCTCTTCGGCGCTCGGATTCAATCGCAAACCCCCAGACCCCCCTCTCCCACCCTGCAATGCTCCTCATCCCCCGCAACTGAAATTCTGGGAAAACTGCTAGCATCAGCATCACGATTCCCATATCCCCTCGCTACATTTTCTTCATTTTAGCCTTATATTTCGAACGTCCCAATTTGAACCCGCTCTGATTACCTCGTTCGTTCCTTTTTTTTTTTTTTGCCGTCTCATCATTATTTGTTTCATGCTCGGTACACGCTTTTTAATCTTTGTAGCGTTCAACGAACCGGCCACGTAGCGGCTATACCATTGCACGAAGCCTCTGATCGTCTCGGCAACCGGCAATTCAATCATGAGCGTAGGATTTTTTGTTCAATGTCTCATATTCGACGACGGGGCACACTTCTTTTGTCAACTGCTGAAGGGGTGCACGCTTGTTTTTTTTTTTTTTCTCGTATTCTTGGAAAACGAAATGATGCCTTGATGAGCTGTCATACCCTGGCAATGCGACGTTATAAATGACCGCCTCTGAATGGCTAAGCGTGCCTTTTGGGTGCGTTCCTATCTTTCGGGGGCATCGAAGTTGGGGAATCTTATCGATTCAGATGCGCAGTACTAGGCTTCATTCTCCGCTAGCCTTCATATTCAGTGCCAGAAAGATATCGATGTAGTATCAGTGCACCAGATCAATACTACTAAGATCTCTTCATTGCAAGATCTTTAAGACTCCTTTGGCAATTCCCTGCGATCTGGAAGGTATCGCCTCACCAACTCGTGCACGGTGACTTACGTAGGCTAGCCCTATTTTCACAATTAGAGGGCAGTGGTATCAGGGGGGGTGGTGTTGACTTATACTAGTTTGTTTATTTATACTAAGTCGTATCTGTAGTTCTGCTCGACAGCTCTGGTCGGCGTAGGTTACCCTAGACTTATCTTGGCCTGCAATATTCCTTTCCTGTCGCATCCAGTTTACCTCCTGCCATTACAGGGGCAACGTCTCCCATTTTAATCCACTCTGAATCGTACATCTTAGTAAGCTTAACGAGAGTCCTCGTTTGGGTATACACTCGTTGAACACCGCCTGCCTCACGCAAGCTTCAAGGTTTACTGGCGTGCTCAAAATAAAGACAAGGACCGGACAGGGACAGGAGCGAATACGTAAGCTTCAGTGGCGTTGCCAGGGTGGGGGGGAGGGTGAAACACTCTTTTAAATTATCCTATTTTACTTGCAGATATATACACGCTCACATAAAAACACACGCACGAACATACATAAAGCGTAATTGAACCCCCTCCCCCCACCCACCCGGAAAATAATTCCTGGCTACGCCTTCAGTAGGTTTAATGAACTGCCCTTTTTTTCCCTGTCCTCTCATCAGCAGAACTACTTCTTTCGACATTTTTAGTGACAGTTTTTAGCATTAGCACACCAACGATGCCGACGTCACAGGGTCCGCGCAAACAGCTCGACTACAGTGGTAGTAATGTGCATATATTATACCAACCATGGAATGTCCGAAAAGAAAGACTGGTCTGCTCGGATACTTCTGCTTGACCAGGTCGACGTGCGTCAAGATGTCGTCCACGTAGGTGTCGGCAGACTTGACCAGGGCTCGGGGGCCTTCGCTTTTGCCGTGGCCAACTGCGAGCCCCCAAGATGAGCAGAAAATCGGCTTGTAGGATGGCTCGAGTATCACCGGCGGTTACGATTAAATAAAGAAGGCACGGAATAAACAAGCCAAGAGACAGGCTGGCGAATTTTTACACCATCTGGCTACTCTGTTGTGGGAAGAGCCACCCCCTAGTCACCTAAGGGGTGGGGAGGAGACGCTGCGACGAACCTTCGCAATAATAATAATAATAATAATAATAATAATAATAATAATAATAATAATAATAATAATAATAATAATAATAATAATAATAATAATAATAATCGTTTGTGTTTACCGCCCTAAAACCTTCGCTACCCTGATAGGGCATGTCTTTGTAAGATGTGTCTAGTGGATGTACGGCGGATTCAAGGTTTACAAGATTTAACCTCCGAAGCAAGCTTCTTGATCATCTTTCGCTTCGTGGATATGGCGTCACGGTTTTTCACCGCCGAATTTCGAAATCGCGCAACGTTGGGGGAATCAACAAGTAACGTTAATCATGTCCTGTCAAGCATTTATTCAACGTAACGCATTGTTACAAAATAAATATGCGCTTTCTTTCATACTTGCGGATATCTTTGCTGTACAAGGTAAAGTGATTTTTTTTCCAACTCCACTTCCTACTTGTGTGATAATAATAATTATAAAACATATGTTGAAGAGTGACAACTTCATTAAACTTTAGTGCTCTTTTCGGTTTTTTTTTTAGAGGGTGGGGGGTGGGGGGGGGGGGGGTCGAGTGGGTTTTCTTGATTCTTTGAGACGCTATGTACACAATTGCGTACACCCTTCGTTCTTGCTATTTGCAACAAGTAGATGCTACGAATGAGCAAAGTATATCGTATATTATATTATTCAACCTCCTGCGTAATAGTTTTACTTTAAGTTTACCTTAATTTAAGCTCATTTCGCTGTGTACAGATACAGATTATTGCTTTCATGAGAGAACTTCTACGTTCGACGAGTCGTGCAACGTGCCGCTTCCTGCCAGCAATGTCGAAAGCAGAATTTTTCTTTACTCAGAATGGAGATGACGAAAAATTATTTACCACTATATTTTTCGCCTGAGGTACTGTTCTGTTTAAACTAAAAGTGAGCATCAGTGACTTCAGCGTAAAGAGATATTTAATTACAACCTAATTAGGATGACCTACTCTAACACATCTAAACTCGACAATTATGTCGTCATTCTTGTTACAACTGAGTATTTATTGCCTTGAAGAAGCATTGATTGAAGAGTATTTATTGCCTTGAAGAAGCGTACTGATTTGACACATTTACAGGCAATTCTTCAATGGTGGCGTATGAAAGGGTTAAAGTCGCGCCGCTCTTTCGGGTCTTTTGTTTGCGATTATTTGCTTCTTATAGCTTGGTAGCATCTGGCAACGCTGCTGACGGGTGAGATTAGTGCATTCAACTGATAAGAACAACGGATATGGTGACTGTCACCCTAGCCGTTTTAGACAAACACGCAAGAGAGCTTGCAATTTTCTTTCCAACGCCAGGAAACATCTCCGCGCCGCTGTGTCCCATTGTTCGGGGAGGAGGATAACCTTGACTGCGGTCGCCGCGGGACCTTGCGCCAGGCTGTGCTTACGAAGCGAACCACGTGGAGCGATTCCTGGCTCCGTTCCACGCATCAGCTACGGGAAAATGTAGCAGGATTATTTTTTTTTTCTTTCTCTTGAGGCACGCAACGCTGCTCACGGCCTGATTGCATGCGGCGTTGGCACGTGTCGACGGTCATGGTTGTTTAACCTGCAAGGCTACCGACTATATCCAGCGGAAGTACGCGCAGTTTAGAAGAGCCTTATCGCGTGACACCGAGGTGACGCGCGCTAAGAGGTTGCATAATAAGTGGTTGCTCGACAGAAATACCTCTTGTCTTACCCTTCTGCTTGAGATAAGAGGTAGCGCGTTGAAATGCTTGATGTAACAGATGCATGGTGAACAATCAATGTGATTAAATGAGGTCGCGCTATAGTTCCCTATCCCGAGGCGGGCCGCTGCCACTTTGGGACTGGAAGGGTTTAGGACCCTTCCTCTACTTTTGGGGCCCTTGGACTACTATATATCCGGCCCAACTTGCCATCTTGCTACCCATATAGCTGTTCTATACCGCTCTCCGGTATTATCTTTGTCACTGCGTGACTCGGAGAAACGTCCGTGCATACGCCTAGGATCTATGGTGTCACTGCATGCATCGAGTTTTGTAGTACAGCAGCGAACTCTGGATAAATCTTGTTTAACAGTGTGTTCAGAGTCCATGCTAGAACCTGTTTGAACCTGCTCGATGTACGTATCGGATAAGGTTGATTGTTTCACATATGCTCTGACAGAAGCTGCACAAGCGCATCGCCGCACCTTGTACACTTGTGAGCAACACTGTACTTGACCATTGCTGCTTCACTGTTTGATAGCACAGGCTCTGGACGGCTTCCGGTTTTGTGCGCCAGCGCAGACTGGTAGCATTGGCTGGGAACAAAATCCTTAGTGAGAAGCCTGCTCACTTTCAACGGGTTTGTCCCCCAGTGACTGGCTAGATATTTCAAACATTTCTTCTGACCTATACACAGAACATTATAAGAATTAGTCCTTGAAATGAAGCGCTTTCCTTTCATCTGAAAGCGTGGAAAGTGATTTTCGTTACTATAGCCCAACTTCAAGAAAAACAAAGCGTTCTGCTTCGGTGTTGGTGTTATAATTGAAGTGACCCGAAGTTTCCTGGGAACAGGTACGTGCCGCTGCTATTCCAATCTTGAAAGAAACCAACCGAACTTGGAGTGCCACCCCCTGGTTACGCCACTGGTATGTATACACGTACAGAATTGCACACGCGCGAGCAAGTACATGCTGTCGAAAATTGACCATTTGCGGAAAAGTGAGCGCCCCCTGTCGTGTAAACAGGAAAGCTTCGCTTTTGGTTGGAAAACAAAACGCTTGTTTTGTTGCTTTAGGACCAAAAACGCATGCCCGTTACTGAAACAAGAAGGTAAAGGAGAAAACATTCTGTTGACGTTTGTATACACGGTGTAAAACAATAATTTCTCGCGTTTCAGCCTGAGAAATAACCAAGTGAGGTGATACCTGCACTCCGCTACCTCGACGGTTCGCCAGGCTCATTACGCCTGCTCTTTTAAGAAGAACATTATGTTATAGGTTCAGTGAGGACGGCTTGTGCACCGTCTGTGAGGTACGGTGTTTGCGTGAAAACGGCAGTGTTCGCCGTTACTACGGGTCATATTGATGGAACGCCAGGCTGATGTTTTCCAACCAAAACCAAAACGCCTGTACAGGAACGCTACCTGTGCGGTTACTGCTCATGCGCAGTGGTTTTCCCGCAAATGGTCAATTTCCTGAGACAGTGATGACACCTAATTATGTCGTTCAATGTTAATAGATGCGAGCATGTCGGCTCACTCCCCGCAAGAATAACTGCTTGGGGGGATAAGCACTATTGAAGGTTCACTAATCGGCTTTTCTTTTTCTTCGAATGCCGTAACTTCAATGATCAGCCTTTTTTTTTTTCCTCACATGAAGCTTTAGCGATAGCAGTGGTGTCACCAAAGATAGGAGTGTTGTTATGGGTCTTCACCAACTAGACCCGTCAAAGATCCTGTTACACTTCTGCACCTTGACTGGTTTCGCATTCCCTCCGTAGTGCTCCGCCCACCTTCGACCAACAGACGGTGGCACGGAATGACGACCGTGAAGTCATGAAGCAGTGAGGTCACACATTTCGGCGATGCCATGGTGTTTTGTCATCGCGTGATGATTTTTCGCACGATTCGCGTTGACGCCGACAGCAGCGTTTGATGGGGCGTCTAACGCCCGCATTCACAAACGCTCCTCGACTCGACTTTCACCCTTCACTTGACAGACTTGTGCACTGCGCCACAGCTCGGCTTAAAAATGACGCTGTGCTACCCAAGAATCGCAGCAGATTATCGCTGATATGCAGTGACTTGCCGTGCCTAGAGACGGCGCTCCCATCGGCTTTCTCAAGTGAAGGTGAAGCGTTGAGTGAAGGGACGTTCTAGAATACGGGGGTAAAGCTTTGCCATAAAGGGGCTGTCTACCGCTCTGAAAAAGTTTTTTTTTTATTTTGGTGCAAATGAGAAGATTGTCAATCACTTCGGTGACCACGAGCATGCTTTTGTCCCATAGAAAAGGAAATATAATGTTAACTCGATGTTGAAAGTCGACAAAAAAAAAAAAACTACCGTTACAGCGTCACCCAACAGCAATGTGGTCAATATATTGGTAGAACAAGATATACTTGCAAGTTGACTTATTTGGCCTAAAAACAAACATTGAAATTGTATTTTACGCACTTGAGGCAGCCTTAGGTTGCTCCAAAGAGTAATTTTCGCTTTCCCGCGCGTTCAAAAAGGCACCAGGTGGCGCTGCCGGTGGTTTGTTTGCTTGCCCTCGTGACTGGCCTGTAAACAGCGGAGAAACGCGAGCCCCGCACCCGCCACCGCTCATAAGAACGACAAAAGCAGTCTGCATTTAAACACACCTTGACGATGTCTGCAAACACCGCACGTTGTTTCAGTTTTCGACTTTCACCGGCAGCACTATTGTCATCGCCTCCGACGACCCGTATTTCGAGCATTCATCCCACCGATGGAAGGAGACCAAGAAGGATTAAAGAAAAATTGCTGGGATGGAAGCTTCCGCAATGCCTTGCCAGCCGAAGTGAAGCCACCTTTTGCCACTGCCCAGATGGCGGGAAACATGCTCTTTTCTGATAGTGCCCACTTAAAGATCAAGTAACTTTGATATGTTTGTGTAAATGCTGTGTTAGTTCTGTATTAAAAGATAGTTGTTCCCGACGAAGTAACACACAGAAACGAGTATGGATGACTGAATCTTCAAAGAACTTCGCCTCCAATCAGAGGCTCACTAAGGAAAACTAGTAACTGTGAGACGCACTTGGAGCACTGAGTGGTCCGAAAAAGTTCTCACATTAAAATCGTTGGGCCTGCGAGGGAAAGGTGGTGGTGAAAACGTATTTATTTATTTATTTACAGGAAATTTTCTGCGGAGAAGCTCCGGGTAGTGGAAACGCTTCGTTTTAAATCGCTGAATGGTGATAACTTATCGTGCCCCTAGTAAGATGGCAGCCACTACCACCATCTTGCCAGAGGAACGGCTTTGCTTCTGCGCAGTCACTTCCACTCCAGCCATTATATAAGTCCTCCTTGAAGGAGACCGAACGCATATCGAAAAATGCGCACTTCCAGAAAAACCGCTGCAAGGTTAGACACTTCACTGAAGATGGTACGCCTTTTTATCGCGTCACACAACAGAGAAGCAGCGAAGGATGGCAGACAGTGCCTTTAATGAATAGAGTGACTGAAATAGAGTGGCTTACGAGCTGTGCTTACCGTGGTCGTGTGAGAAGACGTAGCATCCCTGGCCAACCAGCTTCCTCGCCAGCACGTCGTAGCAGGGGCTGTGGCAGTGCTCGGCGTAGCCGTGGGCCACAAAAAACCAGCGCCCTGCAAGGAAAGGTCACGGGAGCTTCAATACAGTGACAGCGAGATTCCGACGGCAACGAGTGGCGCGTTCTTTAGGAGCGAGCTGAGGGGCCAGCTACATTGCGCTTAACGCCAAACAAAATGCTGAGGAAGTAACCAAACGTGCTCCATCGCAGTAGGTATCACGAGCATTTCAAAGCATTTCGAGAGCAGTATAGATGGATTCGTACAAGCTATGTGGTCGAGCGGTTTCAAGTTGCACCGTCGCCGGAAATGTCCAGACGTTCCTCAACCTCTGTGACCTTGGAAAAACGTTGGAGGTAGTGCGTCGTAATTTTAGCCACGTAGTGGCATCGTGGTTACGGGTCGTGAAACTTTAACAATTATATTAAGTTTAGTTGTCCTGAATTTTCGCTGGAGCAAGGACACAACGCTATGCAGCCTGACAATAGGTATACGCTCCCCTAGTTGCAGTTTGAAAAGAGGCGGTTGAGCATCAACAGCACAATATACGACAGGCACCCTCTGATACTACATAATAAAGCAAAAAATAGCATAGTCTGGTTACACATGTCGAAATAAAATAAACAGTATCGTTACATAAGCAGTCGATAAATAACGTGATAAATAAGAAAAAAAAAGGAATTGCGTACAAACTGTATTAAGCATATGTACTCAATATCATGGTAAGTCAATATTTACTCTAGAATGGTGCTGGAATGTAGTTAAGGTGATAAGTGTTAAAGTTTTACATCTCAAAGCCGCGATATGGTTAGGACGAACGTCGTATAATGAAGAGCTCCGCAAATTTTGTCGATGTGGTCTTCTTTAACGTGTGCCTAAATCTAAATGCGTGGGTCTGAGAGAACGTATTTAAAGGGCCAGCACATGGTCACCCAACAATTTGTGGTTTTTAGTGTAAAATAGACGTGTAGTGTTTGTATTAGGCCTTTACACATTTAAAAACTGGTCTTCTAACTGATATTTCAGGGCCGAGTAAGCCATATGAATGTCCAAGGCTCTAAACACCGCCCACTGCCGGCGGCCACCATTGTGCGATTGCGTGAGTGACGTCACGTGCTACGTGGAGCACCGCAGTCTTCTACCGAAGTTTCAATCGCCGTAAAGCTTTTCAGGCCAAGCTGAAGAATGCTTAAATAGCACAATTGCTCGCACAGCTAAGCACAGTAAAAAAATCGTTCTGCGGAATGCAGACACTCGCACACAAGAACCTTGTTACGTCACGGCTTTGAAGTGCGCCAGTGTTGCCCGAGTCCCAGGCCGCTTGTGTGCTTATATAAGTAATCAACTATAAATGTAATGCTCGGCGAAACGTGCTAAAGCTCCGACAGCTTGTTTATGAACGCACACGGATTAACACACATAACACGGGTTATAATCGAAAACTCGGTTTCATGACCTCTAAGCTCCAGAAGGGACACTACGGCATTAAGCTTGCATAGCAAGCAACACTTGCGAGGGACAAAGAAGGGGGAAAAAAAAAGGACAGGCCCTCCATTTCTTTTGCTGTTCGCCACGGACTGCACCTTCCGTGAGACGCGTTTAGTCGATCGAACGGGTGCTTCGAGGAATTACTTATATCCAGAAACTTAAACCGGCTACCTACAAACTTCCTGGTATGACTACCAGTGTTCCGTATCCATGGGCAGACAGACGGTGACGTTAAACCATTGGCATTTTTTTTTTTATTAGGGAGGTCGTACCGTCATGAAAGCTCGCACACAGGTGAGACACGCGACTGCATCGCATCGCCGAAAGTCGAAGGACACGCGATTCACCGCTTCAACTTGTCAAGCGCGAGCTGCCCGCTACGCGCACTGAGAAATCTATAGCGCGCGTCATAGACGAGGGGTCTGTCACCCCCGTATTCTAGGACTTTCCTTCCACTCAACGCTTCGCCTTCACTTGAAAAAAAAAAAAGCCGACTGAAGCGCCATCTATAGGCACAGAAAGTCACTGCATATCAGCGATTGTCTGCTGCAATTCTTGAGAAGCGCAGCGTCATTTTCAGCCGAGTGGTGGCGCAGGGCTCAACTCCATCAAGTAAAGGGATAAAATTGAGTGGAGGAGTGTTTGTGAATACGGGGGTGAATCACCTCAGCCAGAGTGTCAGTGCGTTAGTTGAAAACAGGAGTGCGGCCAGGTTTCTCTGTGAACATAGCTGCAAACGGCTCCAGTGCATGCATGAGCTGACAGTTTCTGGGTATCCAGAAGTGGACTTTTTTCAATGGTTTTCACTAGAGGGCCGCAGTCACGCAATGTAGTCACGCATATGCTAACTACTGTTGGAATTAAACTGTCCAAAAACATGATATGATTACCAGAGGCACCGTAGGGGAGGGCTACGGAAATGTTTACCCCGTGGTGTTCTTTAACCTGCACGTAAATTTAAGCGTACGGGCATCGGGCGTTTTTCCTCTGCCGGAAAGCTTATAGGGGATCCTTAGGCGTCGCCTTTGAGAGTTGAACGCGATCCCGTCCCTAGTGTGTACATCGAACACTTAGTACGTGATATCTTTTCGAACTTGCGATGCACCCACTCCGTGGCCATAAGAGGAAATAACGCGCGTTGTAACGTGTGTGCTTTTTGTAGTTGGTGAGTGGCTTTAAACCATGATCTCATCTTCATAATCACGGTCTCTCACGTCCGATGGTAGTTTACGCTTGTACCACGCAGTGTTACTGCAATAGTTCGCGCTGTATTGTGAAGCATGTATACATGACGCATGTGTTTTGTAAAGCACGACATTTACTTTCACTGCATTTCCAAGAAGTGCGAAGTTAATTTCACTTCATTCACCAAGAGATGTGTGGCTGTGGGGTAGATCACACAGCCACAAGTGACCCAAGTTGGAACCCCACCTTGCCCCTCACCGAATATATATATATATATATATATATATATATATATATATATATATATATATATATATATATTTATATATATATATATATATATATATATAAATTCTGGCTACGTTACTTGCACACACACGTCATAATTGTGCACAAGCATCATTTTTTTATCGTGTCAAAATAAACAAAGCTCATCTTTGAGAGCACGAGAAAACCGCCACATAAAAACCGACCCCGCTCCGTACTTTTCCGCTCACATTGTCGAGCGTGGGATTTTTCCTTTTTGCGGTAATTTGCGCAACCGCTACCAGCCTAAACGTAGACCGCGCCAGTTTGTTGCGAATCGCGGCGATTTCGTGGAAACAAGGCAGACCGCCTTCGAGTAGTGTTAGGCGAATTATTAATGGACTGTGTAAGTGGTACAGTGTTTCATTCAGAGCATTTATGGCGGAGCCCCAAAGTTGTGCACAACAATATGGCGCAGTGAGAAAACACTGCATGTTTCTTTTTTTATCACACTATATAAAAAGTAACTCAGCGAAACACAAAGTTGACAATAACACAGGGGATTAACTGTAAGCTGGCTTACTAAGATAAGCCAACACTTACGGTCAGCGGATTCGAAAAAAAAAAACAAACAAGAGAGACGAAGTACGACGAAGAGCACTCGGACGTTTGTCAGAAGTAGATATCTTATATAAAAGGCACTCTAAATTCCTTTCCTTATCTTTTGTGAACAGAGGTTATCGGTGCACAGATCTCTTACCTCTGCCAAAGTCGCAGAGAAAAGAGGTCGCATCTTAAACCGGCTACCTACAAACTTCCTGGTATGACTACCAGTGTTCCGTATCCATGGGCAGACAGACGGTGACGTTAAACCATTGGCATTTTTTTTTTTATTAGGGAGGTCGTACCGTCATGAAAGCTCGCACACAGGTGAGACACGCGACTGCATCGCATCGCCGAAAGTCGAAGGACACGCGATTCACCGCTTCAACTTGTCAAGCGCGAGCTGCCCGCTACGCGCACTGAGAAATCTATAGCGCGCGTCATAGACGAGGGGTCTGTCACCCCCGTATTCTAGGACTTTCCTTCCACTCAACGCTTCGCCTTCACTTGAAAAAAAAAAAAGCCGACTGAAGCGCCATCTATAGGCACAGAAAGTCACTGCATATCAGCGATTGTCTGCTGCAATTCTTGAGAAGCGCAGCGTCATTTTCAGCCGAGTGGTGGCGCAGGGCTCAACTCCATCAAGTAAAGGGATAAAATTGAGTGGAGGAGCGTTTGTGAATACGGGGGTGAATCACCTTCGAGCCAGAGTGTCAGTGCGTCAATGCAAAACAGGAGTGCGGCCAGGTTTCTCTGAACATAGCTGAAAACGGCTCCAGTGCATGCATGAGTTGACAGTTTCTGGGTATCCAGAAGTGGACTTTTTTCAATGGTTTTAACTAGAGGGACGCAGTCACGCAATGTAGTCACTCATATGCTGACTACTGTTGTGATTTAACTGTCCAAAAACATGATATGATTACCAGAGGCACCGTAGGGGAGGGCTACGGAAATGTTGACCCCGTGGTGTTCTTTAACCTGCACGTAAATTTAAGCACACGGGCATCGGTTCTTTTTCCTCCACCGGAAAGCTTATAGGGGATCCTTAAGCTTCGCCTTTGTGAGTTGAACGCGATCCTGTCCCAAGTGTGTACTTCGAACACTTAGTGCGTGATATCTTTTCGAACTTGACATGCACCCACTCCGTGGCCTTAAAAGGAAATAACGCGCGTAGTAACGTGTGTGCTTTTTGTAGTTGGTGAGTGGCTTTAAACCATGAATTCATCTTCATAATCACGGTCTCTTACACCCGATGGTAGTTTACGCTTGTACCACGCAGTGTTACTGCAATAGTTCGTGTTGTATCGTGAAGCATGTATGCATGACGCATGTGTTTTGTGAAGCACGAAAAAATACTTTCACTGCATTTCCAAGAAGTGCGAAGTTAATTTCACTTCATTCACCAAGAGATGTGTGGCTGTGGGGTAGATCACACAGCCACAAGTGAGCCAAGTTGAAAGATATATATATATATATATATATATATATATATATATATATATATATATATATATATTATATATAACCTGGCCACG